GTTTCCCGTGAGAAACTTTCCGGAGGGCATTTTGTTTCGGCAGATTGCCCGTGTGTAACGTTAACGTATACAAATAAACCGAACTTAAATTAAGTCATTAGGATACAGTAAGAACCTTTTAATCCCTTCTCAATTAATTAAACTCGATATTCTTAGTACTTAGAAACAGGAATGTGTCCATACTCTTCTTGAAAACACGACGAATTGTTTCAAATGTGTAAATTTTTATATACTTTTCTGGTACCGTGGACACTAAGAGGGCCTTTTTTATCATTATCGTGATTAGACGAACCAGCAAACCGAGTCTTATCAAGTTAAAAGTCGGTCTGTTTACTGCTTTGAAACGTTTACTCGCCTCTCCCTTCGACTGTTGCCAAAAATTAATGGTCAAGCCATCGAAATAGAGGGTCCATCCTCACCGATTACGATACTGCGAGTCCTTTTACCCGTGTTGCCACGTTGTGTAAAAAAACGACATGTTAACTTAATTCATTAATTCATTAATCGATGTAGATGCACACACGCCACGTGTATTTAAGTTAATGTTTCTACGTTCTATACTTATTACAGTAAATATTCACTTTGCGACCGTAAATACGAATTTCTCTTTTCAAATAATAACTCGACATTTCTTTCAGATTAAACCCTTAGATAATTTTTTAAAATAAAAACAAAAGACTCTGCTGTCACTTTCTCAAGATGGTCAAACGATTAAGGTATCAGTGAACTGCTCTGGGGACCCGGAAACGAATCCAAGAAAAATAAAGTCCGTATAAAACTGTTAATATGTATTTTTAATAAATAGGGTATTGTTTTATTTGATACGCCCTGTCGACATTAAAAGAAATAAGATGATCTTTTTATAGGGCCCATCGTGGTTTTGGTTAGGCCCGACACATCCGGGACGAAAAGGACTTGGCGAATTGGAATACGAGACTGGGCTTTTCTATCCGTTCGGAAACGAATCCGAACGGATAGAAAAGCCCAGGAAGTTTTCGGAGAGTGGTTTGTTCGGATTTGTCGGGCCCCATTCCTCACCACCGAGTCGTTCCATCGTGGCTTGGCCGAACCTATAACTGGCTTTGTAAGAAAGGCCTTCTTAGTGCCCACGGGGCAAAAGTGTTAAAAAAAGAGTAAACAACTTCAATTTAGACTAATTTTATTTTGATAATGTAAATATTAATAATTTGTAGAAATTTTAAATATGATTACAAATTTCGAAATCAAGTTATAACACAATATAATATTCTAAGCCTTTTTTTTATACTCTTTCCGCCCTGTGGGCACTAAGAGGGCCTATTATAGTAGGCCCGTTATGGGTTCGGCTAGGTCCACAATGGGGCGAGTGGGTGGTGAGGGCGGAGCTTGACACATCCGAACGGACCTAGCCAGCTACGAAAATTTCTGAGAATTTCTCGAGCCGTCCGGATTCGATCACGGGTCCTCCAGAGCGGTAGGCTGCCACCTTGACCGCTCGGTTATCGAGGCCACAACTCCTTAAATTGTAATTATATTGACTTTTTTACTATATCAAGGTAGGTTGGACATAATAGACAGGTGTCGTTTATTATTTCGGATGTAATTTTTATATTTGATTGCATTAAACTGTCTTACGTTTACAGTAGAGTCTCGATTATCCGACTCAATTGGGGACTGGGGTTGGTCGGATAATTGAAAAGTATGAAAAAATCCATTATTAGTGTAGTATATTATTATATTCCATGTAATAAGTATATTAGTATGTCGCTATTAACCTACTTCGCGTTGAATTTTCATCGATGTTAAACCTAACAAAAATTTTTTAAAATAATAATCGTCGCTATTGTATCGTTAAAAATTAGAAAGTTAAGCCTCGTTTAAATACTGGCTCTCTTCCATGGTCGAATGAGTGTTGCCAGCTAAAACACGTAAAAATCATATTAAAGTAGCCAAGACATAGCCAAATATAGTAGCGCCACATCACTAGCGGACATTTGAAATGTGCCGACTAGGACGGTCGGTTAACTGAGGTGTCGGTTAATCGGGGATTGGATAATCGAGGCTCTACTGTATAAATTTTGCCTATCAACTGTGCATTTATAACACAAATAAGTTATAAACCACAATGTTTGTGGGACCAGTTTGTTTCCAAATAATTATTTGGAAACATAAACAGGTCCTTCAAATGTTTAATACGGAATATAACAATAACTCGTGCGGTTTTTTCGATTCCTTTCCATTTTTTACGACAAAGTTTCCCTGCAGGTTAGAGCAGTTTTAATAGGTAGTCCCTTATCGAGTGTCTGTCCGTCTCCAGACTCTGAAGATTGTCATCCAAGCAATTGAGACGTTAAGATAGAAAGTTTTAATTTTTAGATTACAAACTTTAAACAACTTCACCAGTTCCAAGATAATTACTGTAAAGTATAATTGTGAGGATTCAAGCTCTTTTGTGAATTTTAAAGCTGTAATATTTTTTTCTCATTATTATTTCCCTTCTTACTTAATTGTTGCGTCACATCGAAAGGTGACCTCTTAGGCTTTCCAAGACGTTTAGGACTACAGATAAAGTTCTCCCCTCTGACTACAGATAAAGTCCCACACTGCGGAATTATCCATTACCGCTTTCGTTACGATTTACAAATAAGTAGCCAGTTAACGAGTACCTCAACTTGTTACATGATAGAGGGTAACCAGAAAGGTCACCGACAAGGGTAGACCGAACCGAACAAACCCCCTTTCCCCCTTCGACCGATTTCAACGATCAGAAAACCGATCAAAAATGACCATATAAGGCAACAATCGTCACACAGGTGCACCATAGATACTCTGACCGTAGCTACCTGTGGCAATTAATTTAGCGAGTTTGATTGCTGCTGTCAAATTTATGATGAGAAACTGTCGCAATAACATAAACAAACCCCTAACGTAAGTCGAACTAACATGGCATTGCATCAGAATTTTCCTCGATGGTCCCCCCTCCGGGACGTGTGTAGAAAGGGCTTGGTCACTCCTCCGGGCGGACATCGGCAGTGGACATCGATTGCGACATCACCAGACCCGTACCGCCACTCTGTCGGTCGCTACCTCGTTATACTAGCCGTCTCTATCCCAAGATAACCAGACGACCGCCTTTCAGGTTCACCATAGTCCCGACGACGTCGTATACAAGACTTATTCGAGGTATTTTTTGAGAAAGTACGTTTAGTGGTTGTAAGTTCTCTCTCGTCTCTCAATTTCGTCTATTAGTTATAAGCTGAATTAAGGTTGGTTTATCTTGGAGAATATTGGACAAAAAGAGGTCCAAACTTTAGCCGGTCTACCGACAAGAATAGATTAATCGTTGTCGCGACTTAGAATTATTTTTGATTATTCCCATTTTTGTAGCCATTCGCTTTTGGTTTTGCTTTGTATAACTTGGTGTTTATTAAATTTAAATGTGTTATTCTTGTTCAACCTGTGTAATGATTCGGGACCCTGTCAACTTATTCATTGACCTCCCCACTCATTTTAGCCCTCCGAAAACCATTCTCTGACAGAGCCCCAGGTAAGTGGGGACGCTTAATTTAACCCCCTCGGTTCTCACATAATTTTATTGCTAATAACAATTATATGAGACTTAAAACCAAAACATTTGTAATTCAATAATAAATCCTCAATAATGATTCGTACTTAAGAGTCAAATATTTTAACTATTTTAAATAGAGGGTGGGATGGCCGAGCGGTCAAAGCGGCAGCCTACCGCTCTGGGGGCCCGGGGTCCGTTCGGATATGTAGGCCTGGCCGAACTATAGTAGGCTGGCTAAAAGAGGCCCTCTTAGTGCACGCAGGGCGGAAAGATGGCGGATGGCGATAGTTTTTGTACAAAGCTGTCGTATATCGATGGAGTGGTAATTATGGGCTGTAAAAGAGATTTACCGTTCGGATCGAATAATTTTGAACTTTCAGAGAATGAATGCTTCCAGTCTCTTTTAGTGCTCCCCGGCGGGAAGCCAGAAATGAAAATAAACTTCCACGGTAGTAGAGTAGATTTAATCGATTGGGGAAAGGTCAGAACAGGATAAAAAATAATAAAAGGTTACTTATAATAGCAGCAATAACTTGCGCATATTACAATGTCTTACCAAAGAGAGGAAGAACGAATAGGCCTTTCTTTGTTCATCATTCTGTTTCGTCGGTAGACCTGACCAGTCGTTCGGTTGAAAAACGGAAATAAATTCAAACTTTTCTCAGTCTGTAGTGAAAAAGTTCTGTTTTATCTGGCATTTAAATACAGAAATTCCGTCCGTTCTCATTGGTCCACGCTGCCTAACGTCAAGGAATGCATAATTTATCTTCTGTACTCGATATCTGCCAAGTATCGTAAAAATCAGATGGCACAAATTAATAAATACAACAATTTCGATTAATAATATTTTCTATCCGAAAACTAATTGGAATGACATTCATGTTTGAACCCGATCGTTTTTGGTATTTTTCTCAAAACTTGACTCTAGGTGAGGTTAAGGTCAATCGATAATCATGAAGTGGCTAAAGTAGATACTTCTTAATAGCGAGGGGAGGATTTCGTAATTCCGTTCGCGGTGCAAGTCCCGAGAGAGATCTATTATTAATACGGAACACCTGCTTAAAATAAAACAACTGTATTCCCTCAAATTTGTTCCCTCTTATAAATCGTCCTTAAACGATTTGTTTCCAAGATAAAGGAAAAGAGCAACTAGACCGAAAGGAATTAAACACGTCCTGTATATCCAATATTTCTCTAGATATTTTATTGTTTCATTCCTTACGTTATCGAGACCGGGGGATCTTAGATGATTTTAGTTTTCTGATTACAGTTTCAAATTCATTCCAAGTGACAAGATCGTCCGAAAGAGGAACATTATTAACAATGCTTAAATCGAATTAAATTACTGTCTTAGGTCCAGAGAAATACTTTCTCAAAAATATATAGAAATAAATCTGGGTTTAATAAAGAAACGACCCGTTTGAAACAGTTAAAATCAGAAAAATTTATTCGAATTATCTTAAATCAAAGTGCTTGGTTCTCGTCACACGTTAAGTTTCTCACAATTTAGATAATATCCTTATCGGAAAGTGCTAACAGATTAGCGAAAAATCAATTTTGTCCGTTGCAAAGAAGGGAAACGGTCGAGGTCGGAAGGAGAATTTTCCCCGGAGGAAGAATGTTTTGGTCTACGTCGGACGGGACGGAAGTGACGCATTGGGAGTCGGCCCACAGCTTTCTTCTGACCGATCGCCTTTCCGTCACGGTGGCGGGAGAAGTGCTTCTGTCCGCGCTCATTTTGGCGGCAAATACTTTGGTGATTTTCGTGGTCGTCGGCGCACCCGCTCTCCGAACCCCCGGCAACTACTTCGTCCTCAGTCTGACCGCCGCCGACATCCTTTCGGGCACCTCCATCGTCTTCGTCATCCTCAGCATCTGCCACCGCAACTTTTCCTCCGCCGGCCTTCTGTGCAAGTGGAGATTTACCTTTCTGGCCGTCTGGTGGTCGGCTTCCCTGCACGGTCTTTTGGCCATCGCCCTGGACCGATCGTTGGCCATTTTGAAACCTCTTCGTTACTGCAAAATGGCCACCGAGAGGCGCTCTCTCTTCGTCATTTTTGTCGTTTGGAGTTACAGTTTGATCCTCGGATTTTGTCTTTACATCAAATTCGACTCCGGTCGAGTGAAACGATGCGACTTATTCTTCGACGTCCCTCGTTCCTACTTGAAGTATTTCGTCTTGAATTTTTCCTTCGTCCTTCTCGTAATCGCCATTTGTTATTGTAAGATATTCTTCGTGGCCAGAAAGCAGGCCAAGAACTGCTTCGGAAGATCTCCTCCTTTGTGTACCCGAGCGTCGAAACACGTCCGAACTTTGGCCTTGGTGGTGGGAGTTCTTTTTGTCTGTTGGATGCCCGTCGTTGTGGTGTTGTTGCTGGTGCGGCGACAAATCACGGACTGGTGAGATGGCGCCACTCCTCTACGAGTTTCCCGGGAATCCCGGATAGAAAAACGGGAACTGGGTTTTTCCCAGAGAGAATTCTGGGTATTGTTGCTTCTTCTTGTCCGGTGATCGCTGCCATGAGCACGTGTAGCTCTCTTTCAAGTGTACTCGAGGATAGTTGTAAATAAATGTTGTTTTAGTTTAAAACGTGGTCGTGGACTTAACTAATTCACGTTTACAACCTTCTGATAAAGACAGTCTTGGTGGAGTTGTAAATGGATGGAGAAAGACGGCCAGCTTTCGCCTAACCGATGGCGGCCATCCATTACCTCCACTGGAATTGGCCGGAAACGGAGACGGGCGCGACCTGCAGACGGCCAGAGTGGTCGCCTGCTTCTTTTCTCAAATTGGTTCGGCCGTTAATCCCATTGTTTACAGTTTCGGAAACGGAAATCTCTTGTTTCCGGTAATGTAAAGATGCGTGTGAATTTAGAAAAGTAAATATATTCTTAATTTAACAAGTGTCTGAAAATTTCTTCTGTAGGCCTAATTTTGCATATCGAGACTAAATAAATCCTTGTACGTACCATTGACATAGTCTTTTATTTTGAAATGTTTAAAGTAAATGGCAACAATCTCTAATGAAAAGATACTCCATTTGTAATTATATAAAGAATTTTGTGATTTGAATTCGAAAGAACGTAAAGTTTAATGAATGTACGGAGCACGAAAGCTATAACGTGGCCGTGCAACTAAAGAACCAAAATGGCCATTCCGTAAGAAACATTGGTATACTAATCTTGAGTTTATAGACCTTGTGACGAGATATAATGGCCGTTTTTTATTGGAGACATCCTTATTTCCTCAAAGTATTCGGAGCTTTTACTACGTCGTGTTGGACCACCTCTGGCAGATGTTCGGTACTTCTCGATAACGCCATTCTCTACCCCGCTCATTAGGTTCTTCCGGTTAGAGAAATGGTTGCGTGCCAGTTTTCCAGGAAAGAGGATTTGTCGAAGAAGTCGAATTTCTGTGACCTCGCCACTCTCCTGATTTGATGCTATTAGATTTTTTTCATTGAGACTACGTGCATGACACCGGCGCCGGCCGTTTATTTCGAACACCTCATTAATGTCACTTTTTTGTTCCATTGATAAAATCAAACCATACGGGTTGTTCTTAATTTTGTTAAGGAAACATTGAGCCTTATTAATATTCCTCCAAATGATGAAAACATCAACAACATATCTTGCTTATATAAGTATGTCGTTCGTGAAGACCGGCAGTACGTTACTTTCCAATCGTCGTAATACTAGTTGACATAATAACAGGGATATCGGGCTCCCCATTGGAACCCCTCTTTCTTGTAAATATGTGTTCCCTTCAAATGCAAAAACGAAGTATAAAAAATTAGGCGTGCATGTTCTAATATATGTTAGTGATACTTCGTTGCATTATTAATAACATTAATAATGCAACGAAGTATCACCAACACATTAATTTTACATACGTACAATAGCGGTACAACAGGGATATCGTATAAGTGAAATTCATGCTCTTATTGCTAAATACTGTAATCAAACAAATAAGCAACCTACAACTACGAACCAAGGACGAAGAGTAGTTCTCAACTATATACCTTTCCTACACTCGCTGATTAAAAAATTAGCTCACAAGAATAATTTATCGTCGTAATCCTACGATTTATAGAATTCTACGAAATGATAAGAAGAATGGAAACCGTAACAATAGTACAGGAGTGTATTCTATTCCTTTAAATGATGGCCGTTTTAATTCAGATCTCGTTTATGTGAGTGCCACCACGACACTTTTAAAACAGGGGCTTAAAGAGCATAAATTTTCCATTACTAAAAACTTGGACAGTACCGTCCTTGCAGCCTTCGCTAAACATCAGCATATTAATGTTCATTGCGACAAATCATCCGTAATTAGGACCGCCGCCAACAAACAAGTACTTAATTAAACATATTGAAAAACTTGAAATTTACAAGGCCCATATTGACAAAGGATGCATCAACCACACAGATGCAGAAAGTCTATCCTCGGCATGCAAATCTTTTTACCACGACGATTAATTTTTCTTAATGCTTTATTTTAACTTTGTTTTTACGTTTTATTTAATTATACTTTTTGTTATTAATTTTTAAACCGTTGTATTATGTGAGGCTCTGGACAGGTCCGAACCCTCACTAAAATTCGCGTTAAAATAATTGTTTTAGAGAAAATAATATATTAGTTAGAAATAGATTTTTATTTTATGGAAACGCGACGCTAACGTTTAAACAATAGAAGAATGCAAGTCCGTCGACCATTTCCGGTTGAGATCGAATTAAACTTGGATTTTGACCTCTCCCGCGCCCCCGAAAGGTTTCGAATTGTCATCAGGTGACGAGGAGAGACCAATCGGAAACGGGAATCTGAGAGAAAACAGATAAAACCCCGGAAATTCGAGGACGCGACGGCTTCTTCTCCCGAAAGTTCAAAGTGACGGATCTGTTGTTGTGTGTGTCTCGCACCCATCTTCGTCTCCATCTCCCTACCTCGGATCGACGTCTTTCCACCATCAACGGAAGTCGACCGCATCGTCCCGGAGTCGTCGAGACGTGATGGAATGGTTCATTCGCGAACAAGGGACACTCCTTCAAAATGGGACTATCTTGGGAAGGAGAGGAAGACCCAGAGGCCGCAGCCGCCGCAGAACTTTCAAAATCGCGGAAAACTTGTAAGCTTCTTTCGTGTTTAATAAACGGTTGTGTTGTTTGTAAACGAAGCATCTATCTCTGACTCAACTGCTTCCACATGTCGTTGATTGTTACCGCTCGGCAGTCCAAACGGCACGGGAGACGATGACGATATATATCACATATTATCGTTCATCGAGTTTTTTTAAATTTCTCTCCCCCCCCCTTCGGCCTCCACAATTACTTGCGTTCTATTTTACGTTCGTTTTTGTTTTAAAGTGGCTTAACTGAAGAAGACTTTTAAAAATAAAAATAGTCGAAAACGTTATTATTTTTATTAAATACTTCGTTGCTGGAAATACTAAGGTTGTTTTGTGGCGGTACGCCATGTCTATGTACTACATAGGGGTTAGATATAAGTTTTATTTTTTTTAAATCTTTTGTCTTTCACGTCAGTTTCTAGAACTTTCTAACCTATTGTTTCTCTACGGGTGGGGGACAACCTTTGTCTAAGAACGAAGGGAGAAAACAAAGGGATACTAAGAAGTCCCGAGGACGTCAGGAAAAAAAAAAAGACATTTTTGCTGGTCGGCGTCCGAGAAGAGCAGACGAAGAAAAGAACAAGTCGAAGTTTGTCGCCGAATGGGACAAAGGAGAGACTTGGAGTCGTCTGAAAACGGACAAATAAGACGGACACCCAGATCGAGGGCTTCGAGAATACCTTGAATTCTCAAGAAACGGTACAGGAAGGAATTAAGCGCAAGATCCAAAATAGAGAACATCGGAGACTGTCGAATTACCCGGGTACCCCCATCAATCTTTTCTTTATACTTGTCTTATCCCTTCGTATATCTTATTTTTCACTCTTCTTCTTTAGTATGTAAGTTACGTTAAGGTACTTTAAGTTAGTCGTAATATTGCGGAGATATCTCTCAAAGTAAACCTTGTATTGTCGCGAACACGTGTCTCCCGCCTTTGTAAATATAAAGAATATATCGGGCTGTGTTGAAAATATACGTTTACCATAGTTTGGGATCCAAAAGAACCAGGTGTAAGAAGGAACACGTGGTAAGTAACTAAATAAAATCCTATAAATAAAAGAATATAAATTCATTTATGTCGGATAAAATAAAAAACACGTGAAATTTTACTTTTTAAATCCATTTATTTATCTTTTATTTGTTAATTAAGATAAATGTCTCTTCGTGACATTTTCAGAAATGTAATTTATTCCTTTGGTTTATTTTATTATACATTATCCCAAAAGGTTTAAATTTAATGGCGTTTAAAGGTTTAATATAAAATGGAAAAACATGGAGAATTAATAGGAACAGAACTACGGGTGATGTCGAGGAGGAGCTTTAAATCTGTTCCATCGGTCGTGATTAAAAAATTAAGAAGTTGATAGAGTAGACTATTTACATTGCTACAATCAAACTCTTGATAGAGTTCATTTTGAAGGCAAATAATGAAAAACTCCATTTTACAGCACAGATAAAAACTTGTAGACAAATCTTCACAACTACAATTTGCATTGATTAGACTTAGTATAGTTTCTATGGTGCAATTCAGAAGGACTTCTACAATTCGTCTATTACTCGGGTCACAGGTAAAATTTTCGAGCTGTGTGATATTCAATGTACACTGTAGATTGGGGCAAGTACTGTCGGTACTCATTTCTACGTCAGTTAAAGAATTATTCAGGCATTGAATTATTTTTCCAACGTTCTAGAAATAAATAATAAATATCAATTATTAAAGCGTGGAAGAAATTTTATATAAGGTAAATTTATATTACTTTAGATCACACGAATGATCGATACCGGGAAATATCACGCCTCCGAATCCGGGTTTGTATGGCATTTTCACCATAAACGTGTTCGAATGTAAAGTTTTCTTACAACGATCCGTTGAATGTCAATGGTTTAATTGTTTATTAAGTTTCTATTTTTACTTTTTCGGTTGTTATATTTAAAAGGGAAAAATATGGCCATCGGTCGAAAAACGAACCCTCGAGATTTTTACATTTTGAGATTTGGGGACTTCGAGACGTGGAGAAATGAAAAGAAATTTGAAGGTTTTTTCCTGTATTTATGGATGTTTGCGTGTGGGGGACGATTTTGTTCGCCCTCTTTGAAGCTAAATAACTCCTGGGCCTTTTGTCGAAAACTTCTGAAAGTTAACACGGAGGTTTTTAGGGAGATCGACGCCATTAAATTTTAGTGGGTAAAGGTGGATGGGGTGGAGAGATAGAGGCAGGGGCGGATCTACATAAGGACTAATAGGGCTTAAACCTTGGGCACCCTAATGTCGAGGGTCCACAAAAATTGAATTATCGTAAATTTTAATACTTTTTCATTAACAATCATCACTTATCGTATAGTAAAAAATAGTTAATATTAATAATATAATAATAATAATTTATACTATTATTTGTATTAACAAAAAATGGGGTCTTATTGAACTTCAATAAGCCCTAGGCCCCGAAAAACCTAGATCCGCCTGTGGATAGAGGCGACGTTTCGTATCTCGAATGCGGGAGAATCTCTGTCATTTTAGGCGGTTACATTTATAACATTAATGATGTACTTTTTTTATTTTTGTCTCCGTCCTGTGGGCACTAAGAAGGTCTTACTATACGCCCATCGGCCAAATCCACAATGAAGCGGCTGTATATCGAGAAAGAAAGCTGGACATATAAGGGACGAGCCACACAAATATTTCTTGTGATTTTCGCCCTAATCGGATCTCGGGTCCCCAGTACATACACCGCACACTTTACTTCAAAGAGTAAGTTTTTATAATTTTATTTTTAATTTTTGCCGTTATATCGTGGCTAGCGATTCGGAATGTAATTGCGATATTGAAAATTTATTTTTGAAAAGTTTTGGCTCGAGACCATATAATGAAAAAGAAAACATTATTAAAAGAGAAAGGAAATGCCTAAGTTAAATATAAGCACTTCAATAAAAAATTGTTGGACATTTTCGAGATAAAATTTCGTGCATTCATAGAAATGCAAAAATTGTTTTGTTGGTCTGGCCTAGTATTTTCAAGTGAAATTAGGGTGTGGAATAAGAATGGCTTTGACGATTTGAGTAAAGCTGGCAAAAGACACGAAAATCGTAAATGTAAATTTTTTTAAACTCCTGTCAACTATACAGAACTATCATAAAAACATACTATTTTTGCGGCCGGATGGTCGAGCAGTCAAGATGGCAGACTACCGCTCTGGGGGACCCGGGTTCGAATCCGAACGGGTCGAAAAATCCCCAGAAGTTTTTCTGGGGGCGGTCCGTTCAGATATGTCGGGGCCCGTCTCTCACCACCCGGCAGCCACATTGTGGACCTGGCCGAACCCATAATGGGCATGCAAAAAGAGGCCTTCTTAGTGCCCACAGGGCGGAAAGAGTTAAAAAAAAAACTATCGATAGTAAACTCCTATCGGTTGGGTTAAATTATAAACCTACTCGCGATTGACATAATTGGGGCGAGTCGGCCAAATATCTAGCACGCAGCCGGCTAACAGCCCGGAACCAGTCCTGGATAGAATCATTGGAAGCGTTATACGATATTTTGGTGTGTAGTTTCCACCGGCTAATTGTGTAAACTTTATTACATAAAATTATAATGCTCCGACTGAAGAAGGGTGGAAAAATAGACGGCGGGATTGCCGAGCGGTCAAGGTGGCAGCTTACCGCTCCGGGGGATCCAAGATCAAATCCGGATGGGTCGAAAATCCCCTGGAATTTTAAGGGGGGGGTCCGTCCGGATATGTCGGGCCATGTCCCTCACCACCCGACCGCCCCATTGTGGGCCTGGCCGAACCCATAATGGGCTTGCAAAAAGAGGCCCTCTTAGTGCCCACAGGGAGGAAAAGTTTGGGAAAAAAGGGTGGAAACCCGAAATGTGCATTTTGGAGCTTTAGACATCAATAAAAAAATAAAAACAAGGAATAAAACAAGTAAAAGTACAAATTTATAGCCAAAAAACGTAGCTATAAAAGAATTAAATTGTAAAGAAAAAAGGATTAGAAGCTTTGCGAATAAAGTCCTAGTTTTAATTGTATTATTTTATTTATACATACCTCATCCGATTGTGCTTCACCAGTTCCAAGAAAGACAATTCCTGCAAAGAATAATTTTATTGCGTTAATAACGGTTACGTGCCATTAATACTGGGCTATACCTCACTAATACAATAATAAATTTTCAAAAATAGTTGGAACTTAAGAGTCAAATATTTTAATTATTTTAAATTCTTTCCCGATTAATCTCTTTTTCGTTTTTATTCATTCTATTTTCGAATTTTTTATGATGTTTTTAAGAATAATTTGAAAGTCGAAATTAAGACGGAGAATTGCGATGGGTTTGGTGAACAGCTGTTCTATATAGAGTAAGTGGAAATTATGGACCATAACAGAGTTCTACTCAATAATTTTCAACTTTAAGACAATACTTCCAGTTCCTCCCATTAGGTTCTTTTAGTGCTCTCGAGCGGAAAGAGAAAATGAAAATAAACATCCAACGTAATAGAGAAGATTTAGTCGTATGGAGGAAGTCCAAGAAAGGATAAGGCAAAATAACACACGGGCAATCCGCTAAAAAGGGAGAACTTTCTATCGAAAATCTGTTTCCGTTTAAGTGTTAGACACGTGCAGAAATTTACACTGGGCCAACTCCAAGTGGTCAGGCGCGAACCCGCGACCAACTGACAGTTTTCGGTGATTTTATCCTTTTGACCACGAATTGTTAAACTGTTGAAGGGATAGCCTATTGGCGCTCGACTAAAGGCCAACTCCGAAGAATTTACATATAAATAGCAATAAAACTTGATTTAAAAAACTCAATAAGACGTTATTTTTTAATTCCGGCAATAACTTGCACACGATGCAATGACTTACCAAAGATGAAAAGAACAAGTAGGCCTTTGCTCATCATTCTGTTTTAAATCGAGTCGATAGATCTGACGAGTCGTTGCAAATTAGAAACGGGTGCGGGCTCGTCTCAGCTTGTTGTGAAGAATTCCGTTTTCGCTAGTGTTTAAATACAGTTTCTCTTCTACGCAGTAAATTCTGCTCAGTAGCATTTTCCTACGCAGCCCAATGCTAAACAATACGTAATTCTTCTCACGCGGAAGTTACCTGCGGTATACTCGACATGTGCGAAGTGTCGTAAGTGCCAACCTGTTTTTTGGCATTTGTTTGAATTGCAAATATATGTTCATTAAAATNAACTGTTGAAGGGATAGCCTATTGGCGCTCGACTAAAGGCCAACTCCGAAGACTTTACATATAAATAGCAATAAAACTTGATTTAAAAAACTCAATAAGACGTTATTTTTTAATTCCGGCAATAACTTGCACACGATGCAATGACTTACCAAAGATGAAAAGAACAAGTAGGCCTTTGCTCATCATTCTGTTTTAAATCGAGTCGATAGATCTGACGAGTCGTTGCAAATTAGAAACGGGTGCGGGCTCGTTCAGCTTGTTGTGAAGAATTCCGTTTTCGCTAGTGTTTAAATACAGTTTCTCTTCTACGCAGTAAATTCTGCTCAGTAGCATTTTCCTACGCAGCCCAATGCTAAACAATACGTAATTCTTCTCACGCGGAAGTTACCTGCGGTATACTCGACATGTGCGAAGTGTCGTAAGTGCCAACCTGTTTTTTGGCATTTGTTTGAATTGCAAATATATGTTCATTAAAATATAGTCTATATTTTATCTTAATTCGAAAATGAATCAGAATAAAATATTTTATAGGACAATTCAAAAACAATGAAGAACGTGACTGAATAATTCTTGTTCGAAATAAAAATTAATTTTATTCGGTATTTTAATGCTTTTAGTAAGGTTTGGTTTAGTGCAGGGATTTTTTTAACTCTTTCTGCCATGTAGGCATTAAGTGGGTCTTTTTTAGCGAGCCTATTATGAGTTCGGCCAGGCCAACGATGGGGCGGTTGGGTGGTGAGCACTATTTGATGTTCTAAGACATTGGCACGCATTAACATCTTTAAAGTTAAGTATCCTTACTATGCGGCACGCGGGATCAAAAAAATTCGCCACCCTGGTTTAGTCGGATGAGGCAACGCCACACTTGGACAACTTGTTTGGGAGAGTGCCTTCTGAGTGGACTTGTTATGGAAAACTGGCCCCTATTTATATGTGACAAAAACCCGAAAACTTCGCATGTCCCTTTTAATGCGCACAGGATAAGGCCGGATAGCCTAGTGTTTACGAAAGCAGCCTATCAATCCTCCGAGAGGCTTGAGATCGAATCCGGACGGATCGAAAACCCCAGGGTTTTCGGCAGATGATTCTTCCGAATAGGTCGGACCCCTTGGGCTCTCCACCCTGCCGCCCTATTGCGGGCCCGGTCGAATCCGTAATGAGCTTAACGTTTAGTTCTTCGCCCGAGTTAACTCGGGCAGGTTACATAACCTTACATAAAACTCGGTCCTTTCGGCCACCCAAAAAATTTTTGTTTTTTTTTAAATTTTTGGAATGTTTTTTAAGTCCCCAAATTTTTTCAAAATGTTTTGCCCGCGCGAAAAAATTTTATCGCGATTTTAATGATCCTTTGATAAGGCTCGATTAAGGCTTAATTATTTTTTAATGGGAGTTCTTTATCAAATTTATTTCATGTTTCCTAACTTGTAGTGCACGGATTTGACTTCGATAAAGTTATTTAAAGCTGCTTTCTGATGTCAAAAACGACCTCCAATAGTTTTTTAATTTTTTTAATTAATATATTTTATTTTATATAAATTTAATTAATTAGGGGGGTCGGAAATCGCAATAAAATTTTTAATTTTTTAAAAATATTTAAAAATATAGGCCAAGTTATTGTTCACCCTACTTTAAACCCTTGTCCTCCCGAGACGTGTATTAGAATGTCCCGGGAAATCCGACTCCAGCTGTTCTCAAGGTCATCCAGCTGTGTAAACAATGACTCATCAGTGTCAAATTTCACAGAAAGGCCAGACAAAGGAAGTTAAACTTTGAAGCTTTCTTTCAAAATTAACACATTTCTTTCGTTCTTTTCAGTTTTAAGTATTTTTTATGTTCAATTATAATTAATTAAAAATTGATCGGGAACTGAGGGGTTAAATTCAATGAGAAAAAGCTTATATTTTAAACACTAAATTATCAAATTAACTTTCAGTGATCTATAATAATATTACATTTTATAGATGTTATTCTTATATTCATAACAAATTTAGTTAATTATTCCAAATGAAATATTCAAAGTGTTTTTGGTAAATACATTTTAAATATTTTATAAATAATATCGTTCTGTTAAAACATATATTTTAAACTAATGAATGTCTGTACATATTTATATAAATTATTTTTTAGACAATGAAGAATTTCTTAAAGAACATAACTGTTGGAATTTATGCTAAAGAGGTAATATCAGATTATGTAAATTCAGCTTTCGTCATGTTTTCGTTTTAATGATAGAAATAATTTAAAAACTTTAGAAATTTGTTCTTTAGTTTAAAAAATCTATTTTGATACATTATTAAAACAAACGGTGAAATATTATACGTGTTTTAATAATAAACTTCTGTTAGTCACATAGTGTTCTTTAGTATTCTTATATACGAGATAAACAGTAAAAATGCAATATAAAACATTTACTCATTATTTATCAACGTCATAACTGATTTGTTTTATTTTATTGGAAAGGTTCCGGGAGTTCTTCAGTTAGATGAAACTAAACAGAAGTTTATAAACAGAGGTTATGCATCAAGGATAATTCTTGTTCTTCTAGAACATCTCGAATTCAAGTAAAGTATTTACTGTAAATTCTAAAAAATAATATACTTATCTAAAATATCAACAATTTGATAATTTATTATTTCCTTAATTTATAATAAATATTTTTATTACAGTTATGAAATAATTGAGCGTTCTTATAGAAATAAAGTATGATAAACACTTTACTTGATGATAGTATCCTTGTAATTTATGTATATTTCACTGTATTTTTATATTATCTTTTAGCTAGCTGATATTTTCGTGCCAGTAGCTCAGAGAATTCAATATTACNACTCCAGCTGTGTTCAAGGTCATCCAGCTGTGTAAACAATGACTCATCGGTGTCAAATTTCCCAGAAAGGGGAGACAAAGGAAAATAAAGTTTGAAGCTTTTTCTTCAACATTAACGCATTTCTTTCGGTTTTTTCAGTTTTAAGTATTTTTTTTTATGTTTAATTACATTAATATCAAAAATTGCTGGGAACTTAAGGGGTTAAAGAGGCCTTCTTAGTAAATAGAGGGCGACAAAATTTTAAAAATTTAATTCGGGTTTGAACCGGTCTCTCGAATTGACAGGCATTTTACAACTTAGGCCCTTCGATCACGGCCACAAGATCTCATTTTGAAGAAAATTCTAACTTCTGATAATTTAATCACTGTAACTGAATCACTTTATTTGAAGATTTTAAATTTATTTTCCTTTTAATTTGTAAAACAAAACACATATTCAAAACTCTGATTTGCTTCAAATGTTAAGTCAACAAGCTTGAAGGTTATCGCACACATTTTTAATGTATAACCTATATGCGTAACCTGTAACCTATATGCGTAACTGTATAACCTACATGCGTAATGTAGGTTAACCTACATTACGCATGTAGGTTATCACGTGTAATGTAGATTTACTGATAAAAACCGAGGTTATATAAATGAACAAATATGGAGATAATTTCGATCGATATTATTTTGTATTCAAGAACTAATTCACTGGTTGGAAATTCGAGTGACATTCTTGTTTGAACCCAAGGACTGTATACTACAAGGATAGCCAGATCCCTATTCTACAATGTTAGCCAGGAATGTCAAGTTAGTGACGTCAGCATGAATCCTGATCTCTCTGTTTACATAGAGCAGGGTGTGCACGTGTTTAGTTTTCGCTTTTAATATTCGTCCAATTTTGTGATTAACGAAGTGATTTATTTTAATATTTCTGTAATTGTTTTATTTGACTAAGTTTTTTATAAGGTAAGATGATTTAAATATAACTCATTAAATATTTAAAGCTATATTTTTATGTTAGGTGAAGAACAAAATGCCCGGTACTAGATGTGCTGTGTATGGTTGCAATAATAACCTTCTTGCAGTAAAAGCTAAAGGAGAAAGTGTAACGTTTCATGTGTTTCCTAGACAAAAAGACTTAATTTCTAAAAGAATTAGGTCTGAATGGATTAATCGTTGCAAAAGGAGAGATAAATTTAATCCAGATACAAGTAGAATATGTTCTGTTCATTTTGTTCAAAGTGATTATGAAAGAGATTTACAAAATGAATTGCTGGGTAAGTCATAAGTACAGTTCATTCATATATATTACTTGTTTTGGCGCGTGAATGTTTAATTTGTTTGTTTTAGTATATAAAACTCCAGAATATTTTCTATTTCAGGTTTACCAGAAAGAAAGATTCTGAAGAAAACAGCTATCCCTACATTAAATCTTCCGGATAGAATGAACCCAACAGTTACGGAACGAGAAAGAAGAAGTTCAAAAAGAAAACAAAAAGAAGAAGTTAATGATCTTTTAACAAATAATGATAACAATAGTAACAATCTTCAAGATGAATGTCATTACGAAATTAAATATAAGAAGCTGTTAGAAGAATATAATGTTTTAAAAACAGAATATGAAAAATTGAAAGAAGATCATAAGAAAAGAATAAAAGTATTAAACGATTTATTACGATATTACAAAAGAATGCCTTCTGAAAATGGTGATTGTCGAAAAAAAATTAAAAAGTTAAGTAAGATAATCACATAATAAAAAATACAGCTCGTTAATTTGTTAAATATATGTTAGACAAAAGATTTGTAAATTTATTTACGTACACTTATTAAATCCGAAAATTCTATAGTAGTTTACAGTTAGTAGTAATTTAGTAATTAATTAATTAAGAAATGATTAAGTATTTTATCGTATTTTGTTATTTGAAAGCATCTGTCATGTAGAAATAGAGGGCTTGCTGTGACGTCACATATATCCAAGGTCACGCTAACAAATATACGGGATCTGGCTATCCTTGTAGTTTAAAGTCCTTGGTTTGAATCCCAGCGTTTTCGGTATTTTTCTCAAAACTTGTTCTAACCGGCGATTAAAATGAATTGACGCCCAACACCGGCCGAGTGGATAAAACCACCGATCACTGGGCTGCTGGTTGGCGCCGGTCCCCGTGGAGTTTTTCGGATTTTTCTCACGTTAGTAACACGTAAATAGGGGCCAATTTCCCGTAAGAAACTCTCCGGAAGGCATTTTCTTTCGGCAGATTGCCCATGTATAACGTTGACGTATATAAATAAACCGAACTTAAAATAAATTACTGTAAGTCATTAGGTTGATATAATAAGAAACAGGAATGTGTCCGTACTCTTCGTGAAAACATGACGAATTGTTTCAAATGTTTAAATTTTTATATACTTTTCTGGCACCGTGGGCACTAAGAGGGCGTTTTTTATCATTAGCGTCATTAGACGAACCGGCAAACTGAGTCCCATCAAGTTAAAAGTCGGTCTGTTTACTACTCCGAAATGTTCACTCGCCGCTCCCTTCGACTGTTGCCAAAAATTAATGGTTAAGCGATCAAAATAGAGGGTCCATCCTCACCGATTACGATACTGCGAGTCTTTTACCCACGTTGCTACGTTGTGTAAAAAAACATGTTAACCTTAATCAGAGTCGGTAGATTAACTGGTCTTTCGACTAATAGTTCAAACTTAGCTAGAGACAATATTTGCCGCTAGTCGGCGCCACTGTTAGCAGGAGATCGTTGTTCTTGCTAGGTATATACTGAAGTCAGTGATTTTGACCTATAATAATTGTTTTTTTAGCTCCATAAAAATGCCAACGTGCTTTGTGCCAGGATGCAAGGCAGGATATAAGTCATCGAACGAGAAGAGACATTTCTTCCGTGCTCCTAGCGATAAGATTGAGGAGTGGATGCGATGCATTCCACGAGACGACAAGATGCTAACAAATAAATGTTACGTTTGTGACGTACATTTTGCGAGTAGATTTATTTTAAAAACCTTCTCTCATGTTATAAATGGAGAGAAAGTAGAAATTCCACGAGATCGCTGGGCATTAACGTCGGATGCATATCCATCAAACTTCCCTAATTGTCCTAAGTACATTAGTAGGTCTGTACCTCAAAAACGATCAACGCGATGTCTCACAAGAAATGAAGAACCATCTAGGAAGGGATCACAAAAAGACAATACCAAAGGTAACTATTTATGGTTTTTATGTAATCTTAATCCTCAGTGAGTCATGTAATTTTTTGCCCTTGCCTGAGTTGCAGTGCGTCTCTCGGACCCTGTGTTTTAATATAAAATTAAATTTTATCTATCTATCTATTTTATCTATATTTAAGGAACATTTTATATTTAAAAATTAAGTAAAGATTGAGCTGGGTTTGTGAGATCCACTGTGATTCACTGAGGGTTATCTCTCTGTGGCCCATCTTTCCTTATAAATACTTTAAGATTAATTGTCTGATATTTTTTTTTATCAATCATTAGATTTGCATGATACACACTCCCAAGTAACAACTGTAGAAAAGGAAGTAGAAGAACCCTCCACATCTGAAGCAGCAACTACACAGCATCCTGAGCTGTTATATGTCAATAAAATCTCTGCTTTGCAGTCTGAATTGTTAAAAGTCAAAGAGGATTTATATCGGTGCAGAAAGCAAAAGATGATCTATAGGAAGAAACTGAAAACCCTTCAAACAGAAAATCTCAAGCTTCATCAAGAAAATACTGAACTTAAAATGAAACAGTTGTCAGCTGATAAACTTGATTCCTTACCACCAAGACAGAAACTTATAATAGAGCACATGCTGAAAGCATGCCATATAAAAAGCAAAAAGGGTATGAGATATGACATTAATTGGTTACTTGACTGTTTACTTTTAAAAATTAGGTCACCATCTCTCTATGAATTTTTGAGAAATAATGATTACTTGCCTTTACCCTGTCAGTCTACACTGCATCAATATATCAGAGGCATTAATGCCAAATTTGGATTTGATGAAGATCTTTTTGTTATTTTAAAGACAAAATTGGAGACAATTCCACAAACAGAACGCCAGGGAGTTTTAATTTTTGATGAAATCACACTTCAAAAACATATAGAACTTTCAAAAGCTACTGGTGAAATGATTGGACTTGTTGATTATGGTGACAATTCTGAATTGCCACAGAGTGAATTTACAGCAGGTGATCATGGCCTAGTGTTTATGTTCAGACCTCACTTTGCTAGTTGGGTACAATGTATTGGCACATTCTGTTCAAAAAGCTCTGTCTCAGGTTCTACTGTTGCAAAACTTATTTTGCAAGCAATTATTCATTTAGAACAGTGTGGTGCAATAGTCAATGCAATAGTTTGTGATGGTGCCAGCACAAACAAAGCAGCTTTAAAAGCTCTAGGAATTTGTGCAGACACAAATAATATACAATGCTCATTTACAAACCCTGCTGCAGATAGACAAGTACTGGCTATTATTGATGTACCACATATTTTAAAATGTATGCGAAACAATCTTTTGAAAAATACATACTTTCAGGTAAAACTAAGAAAATAAAGTGTTTTCACCTAATTTATAATATAAGCCATTGCATTATTCTGCATTTTTACTTTTAGTTTCCTGAAGGAAGGGTAGAATTACAGCATTTTAAAGCAGTTGTTGATGAAGATTCCAAATTACCAAAGGGATTAAAGGCATGTCCCAAAGTGACAGAAATACATGTTAATCCCAATAACTTCCAGAGAATGAGTGTATTGCTGGCAGCTCAAGTAACACTTTTTTTTACTTATATAATCTTGACTTGATAAGAATACTTTTATTTATCTCATATATTTATAGATATTTAGTAATACTTTTGCTGATGCTATGCTGTTTTATAAACAGCGTGAGGTTGCTATCCTAAAGAATGCAGATGTTACAATAAGTTTCATACGTCACATCAATGCTCTTTTTGATGCTTTAAATCGTAGATTGCCACAGGAAGGAATCAGACATGATTCAAATGATCTCAAGGTAATAGTAATGATTCACTAGCAAAAACTATAAATGTTTTAATTAACAACTTTTTAAAAATAGGTTATTGAAGAATCTCTAGAATGGTTAAATAGATGGGAAGCATTCAGATTACAGATTAGAAGCACTGATCAAAAGGGATTTTTGAGCCACCAGACAGCAGAAAATCTACGCTTGACGCTGACTAGTATCTTAGCACTCGTCAGACAATTGCTTCCAAACTCATATTATATCCTGACAGCTCACTTTAATCAGGACCCATTAGAGGTAAAATTGACTTAGTGTAATGATTATATAATCTTGTATTAAACCTTAACTTATGTTTTCTTTTCAATTAGCGTTTCTTTGGAATGATAAGACAAGGAAGTGGAAGCAATTCTCATCCCACAACAGTACAGTTCTTATACCTGTACAGACTGATGACTGTGTACAGTTTGGTTCGTCCTCCCAAACGAGCATCAGTTCAAACTGATCCAGGATCTATGCTTATTACTTTAAAAAATCTTCTTCATAGTCATAAAAAACCATTCAGAGAAGTTCAAGAACAATTGGAAGAACATTTAGAAAATTTGCTTTGTGATCCAAGTCTATACTATGGAGATCCTAGTGATAGTGAATTATTAGATCATGATTATTGTACACCAGAAACATTTAAGTTTATCCTACATTATTTAGGAGGTTATATTATTTATCGTCTACTGCCATCACTCGGTTGTGATGAATGCAAAAATATATTAACAGCAAAACCTGAGGATGCTGCACCAGAGAAGACATTTACATTCATCAAATCTCGAGGAGGTTTGTTATATCCAAGCTATAAGCTTTGCCAATTGATGTACTGGGCAGAAAGCAAAGTATGCGAAAAATTAACAAACCCAAACATGGATGTTTATTTTTCAATAATGGATAATATATTAAATCAGTGCTCTGTTACATTGATGATAGGATGTGACAATGCTGGTCACAAGTCCTACTTGACTTCCAGATTTTTGCACTTTTTTGTTACTTGTCGATTGCATTTTTTCACGCGAACGATTAATCAATCATTTATTTCATCAGTTGAAAGTAAAAACCATAGAAAAATTTCTCACTTAAAGTAAATTTTAATAACGCAAATAATAATAATAATAATTATTATTAATATGTATAATATAATTTGTTTGTATGTACAATAAATTTTTAACGTATAATAAATTCACATAATAGCACAATTTAATAATAATAATACTATTGTGTCAGTTTTGTTCCTTGTCATTTATTTAACTAAATATAAAATCAGCGTTTTTAAAACACTTAATAAAGCATTAAACACCTTCCATCGCTGAGAAATGTTTATTTAATAAAATACGTTCGAACTCATTTACACCTGAGGATAGTTTATTCCATGAGGCTGAAAATGTTAGTGTTTTATTAAATAAACATTTCTCAGCGATAGAAGGTGTTTAATGTTTTATTAAGTGTCATTTATTTATCCATAAACCTGGTTTTGGGTTTAAATAAAAGCTTTTTCATTCTTATAATAAAATGCATATAAAAATTATGAAATCGAACTCGAAGGTTATATATCTTTCAATAAAAAGAAAACATTCGACCTCACAGGGATTCGATCTAGCGGTCTTGTAGTGATTGCAGTGCCCCTGGTGGTAACATTTGTCTCCAGTTGATTCTAGCAACGAGCGAAGATAGGAAGTCGAAAGACCAGTTAATCTACCGACTCTGATAGAACGGATTATTCGAGTAGACGAAATATTTCACTTAAGCGCGAAAACTGTAAAACAATTTTAATAATTAATATATTATTTCATTTCTTACCACCGGTAATTTTTCGTCAGTTTTTTCCAGCGAATATTAATTAATATTGGTCGGGAAAGTTAAGTTTACCCGTCTGGCAACGTTGTTTCACCTGTAGTGTACTGCGTGTGTTTTTGTAGTGTTTAAAGAGAATTAATTGGGCGACGTCGACAAATTAGGACAGAAATCCTTTATGGAAACGCCGTGTTTGTCGGAACTGCGCACGATATTAAATCGTCTTAGATTATTATGCATTTTCGTCTTCATTTGACGTTTGTTTACGAATTATCGGCAAATATGAAATGGTTTTGAAATGAAGTTTACCAACAAATGGAATTTCGTCCAAAGAAAAGGCGTTTTTGGGGGACTGTTGGCCTTCTGTATTGGGTGAGCGCTATCTTTTATATCTTTTCTTTCGTGAAATTAAATTTCGAAAACCAAAACAATTGGATAACGTCTTTTAAAATTACGGTACTTTTCTGTTAACTGCCGGGCAAGATTCGAGCCCCCGATGAGGGGTTTCTCATCCCCGGAATAGTCGATCTCTCCTATACGAGAAAAAAGTCAAAGAACGTATGTGCAACCCTTGGCGAGATATTCGCTTGCAGAAATCTGTTTTTAACGCGTCTGTATACTGCATATTCTCTGAGCCCCGTGTTGTCAAAGCGGGCGACGACGTGGTAGCAACGACACGTCGAGGCAAGAATTGACTGACGCGGTACTCTCCTGCTTCGGTGCTCGGTGTTGCTCGCACCTTGATGCCTAGGTGGGACGTGAGCTTCCACGTCGACCTAAAACTATATAATGTCGAGTGCTACGCAAATGGTTAGGTGGGCTACATTGAAGTGACGACAATGACGACAATGGTATCGCACGTCGGATTAAAGTTACGACTAGTTTTTCGTTAATGTGCTACATGTGGTATGACTGCGGTTCCGTACGAGACGGTCGGGACTAGTCGGAACTGTCGACCACGCTGTGGGAGTAAAAAGGTCAAAAAGAATTGGTGGTTTGCACGTGACCCTTTGGAAGGTATTGCTTATCTCCGAAATTGGCCAATCTGGATTACTAAGGCCTCGCAAAAGTGGAGTGAAATTTGAAATTTAAAAAATCTGGTACTATTTCTTAAAATGATGCTAAAAATTGACCGTTTTCCACGTTAGTAGAGACGGCCAAAAGTTTGTAAAACCCAAGTCGGTGGTTTGGTTGGTGGGCCATTACTTGCGAAGTGTTGCGTGTAGACTTGACGGTTCCTTTTGCATTTTTTACTATTGCCGGCACGATCTGTGACTCCGATGAGATTCTTGCCGTCTCGTTTTGAGCCGCATTTGTACCCGTGCACTTAACATTATTAGGAGGAGTTACAAGTTATTGTTTGAAATGAAAATTCAACAGTCGTGTGTGATTAAAAACTGTGTAATTCAACCATTAGTAAACTGTATAATAAAACCCTTTAGTTGTTTTACTGTGTATGTTAAATTTTAATACAGTAAAGTTGTATTTACTACAATTAAATTTGTAATCTGGCTCTCCAATATATAAATTAAATGATTGATTTACTTTCATTGGTGATGAGATAGTATTATCTTGTTAGAAATGTTTGTAAGAAACACATTTTATTAATATACAAGTTCTATATAGTACTTAATTATATACTTATTTGTGTAGCGGAGGTTACTTAGCACGTGAAGTTTATACCAGTGAAGGCATGTGGAATGCAATAAATTCTATATCTTACAAAGCTCCGAAAGAAGACAAAGAATCAGATTACATATATTTATCCAAGAGTTACAAAGGTGAGTAATTTGGATAGTTACATTTTAATTTTGTAAAATGAAAAGTAAATTAACCTTACGTAAGCAAAATGGCGATTATTAAAATTCTTCGATCGCTTGCCAGAGTATAACAGATGTACTCGGACGGAATATCAATTTCAGATGACGAGAAAGAAAATAACTAGACTAGCGATAAACTTCAAGTTCAGTTAGTGCCTTTTTTCCACCCTTTATTAGTAAAATTAACTTTAATTCATTTGCAACTAAATATAAATATATATTAATAACACATTTTTGAGATTTATGTAATTGTATTTTCAAGAACTTCTTTCAAAATTGAAACCTTCATTTATTATAATTGTATTTAAAATGATATATTACTATTATTATAAACAGAAGGTTCGTAAATTACTTGATGGTTGCACTGTCCAAATTTTACTTTACTGTTTGGCCTCGGTCCTGGATTCTTCGGAATGATAGGCCAATGCTTTAGCCACTTTGATCCTTTGGTCGTCTTTGTCTATATTTGTGTAATTTGAACTTCTACTTATTTTAGTTTTGGTTTGACCAAGATTACGTGTGTTCGACTAATCGCGCAAGATATTTCGAAAATAGAACTATGACAAAAATCTAAGAAATTCTTATGGTGTTATATGATATTATTATTACAAAAACTAAAATTGTGTTTATAAATAAAGTAATAATATAGTTTGAGTATAAATTTTTGGTTTCTTTTTTTAGATGATTTAGATAATGAAGAAGTAAATAAATATAGCTGGTGGCCATGGAATAAGAAAGAACACAAAATTCAATGGCATCTGTTGAGACTCGCCCAGTCCAAAGATCGACAGGTGCGGCACGTGGCCGTCAAAGCACTGTCCGAATTGCCTCATTTAAACGGTATGTAAAATGGAGTAGACGACGTCTGTGCATATTAATATGTCAACTAGGTTAAAACTTAGAAATTATTTAATATTAATATTTTCTTACACCATAATATCATTATGTAGATGATTTTGAAATATTGATAATACAATTTTATTTTCTAATAGTTTAACAAACTTCTATCGTAATATAATCTGACACATGATAATCTGTAATGTCTGCCTCTGAAAAGCATCGGATAATTTAGAATTGCCCGATAATAACTAGAATTTGTACGTGCGCTGCACTAATGAAAAAGCAGTACATGTCTGGAAAATAAATTTACATGAATGTGAATATTATTGTATATTGTTAATTTTGTCCAATAATGCATGTATCAAGTCTTGCAGCTTTTTCAAACTATCTTAACGCAGTATACTTGTCCACTCTATTATCTTTAGATCAATTAAAGAGAGTGCAAAAGCAAATTGGAACCATATAGCTGCAGGCACTGATACAGAATGTAAGGCAATGCATCCACCATTCAGATTGCATGTAACTCGTTGAATTTTACAAAAATTCAAAAACATTGACAATTGGCATTTTTTTATAATTTGACATCATTCCAGTCTTGTAAGTACCACTGTAAAATTGTTGTTCTGTTTTCATGGCAGTTTTGTTGAAATATTTGAAAGTAAAACGATTCTTTGGTTAAATACAAGGGTAGTTTTTTAAACCTCCGATGGTCCATAAAACAAAGACAAGTGTAAATAACAAAATGAATTTATTACCAAAAGTTTGGTACAAACATGATTGCTTTTCACCATAATCACCGTGAAGATTGAGGTATTTGTCATATCTGTGGACAAGCTTTGCAATCCTGTCTTCATAGAACATTGCTGCCAGTGACTTGAGATGGGCCCTAACATTGTTTGTAGATCGTCATGAGTCTTGAACCTCTGCCCTCCTAGCTATGTTTTCAGTTCAGAGAAGAGGTGGAAGTCTTCACACATTAAAGGTGGTGAAGACTTCCATTCACCTTTCAAAACTTTCACTCACTTTGGAACTTTTTAAACACTCAGCCTATAGCCCCGATTTAGTGCCGAGCGACTTTCACCTCTTTCCTGAACTGAAAACGTGGCTAAGATGGCAGAGGTTTGAGATTAATGACGATCTTCGAAATAACATTAAGGCCCATCTCAAGTCACTGGCAGCAACATTCTATGAAGAGGGGATTGCAACGCTCATCCATAGATATGACAAATGGCTCAAACTTCATTGTGATTATGTCAAAAAGCAACCATGTTTGTATGTAACTTTTGGTAATAAATTCATTTTGTTATTTACACTTGTCTTTGTTTTATGGACCATTGAAAATGATTGCAAATGAGAGACCTTACTTGACAATTAATCCTTAAATCTTAGAGGTAACATTTTATATATAAAATTATTATTGTAAAAAAAATAAAAAGTTTTTAAATATCTATTATTTAAGAATAAAGAACAGATAGGGTCAATAGAAATATTGAATGCTTCAATCAATTAATATCATTACAGATTTTTTCCTTAAAATAACTCATTTTATTCAAATAAAAAATATTTATTGATTGTATTATTTAGATTCTGAATTTAGAGAAATTGCCCAAGCCTGTGACATGCGTACGGCAATCGGTTTAGCCAGAACTCACGGGACCGATCTTCGATTCTTTTTATTGCCGTCGATACATACGGAATATTCGGAGGTGAGATTCTGATTATGTGTTTAGTATATATAAAGTAAATCTTGAATTTTATTAGCTCATAATCGTCTAATGATATTTTTATACTATATTACTCGAATCTAAGAAGCATCTTAATTTCTATATGTTCACTCATGGATTTTTTTTTTTTGAAAAATATTTGTACTTTGAAAAGTACAGTAAGTTTTACATTATATGAGGGTAATCTCAAAAGTAAGGTCTCCTATTTTTTTAAAAAAATACAAAGAAACATTTATTTTCAATAATGTTCATATCATTTTAAAGCTTGAACATTTATCTATTCTTCTACATAATCGCCATTTCGGTTGATGCATGTGATGTGGCAATTTTTGTTTGCCAATGTCATACCAGCTCGTTGTCATGTCATGGGACCCACCTTGCGCACACCTTTTGATATTTCAACTTTTCCATTAAAATTCTATGAATGGTGCTTTGGGAAACCCCAAGAACCAAAATTCATAGATAATCCAGAGTGATTTGCCAATCTTCATGCATAGTTTGCTCAACTTTTGCGACTGTCTCATTGGAAATTGACAGTCTCCCACTTCTTTCTTCGCCATGAATTTCAATATGATCAGTTGTAAAAGTCGGCCTAAAATTCCCTACACCACTTGAGAAAGTTTTTGACATCTATAGATGACTCGCCATACACTTCGGTCAATTGGTGATGAATTTCAATCAGTTTAACGACATGGTAACAGGCTGGTATGACATGGCATACAAAAATGCATCATAGTTTATGATTTCTTTAAGACAGCTGAAAATGTTTGTGTATAAAGAAACATTTTCAGTTGTTTTAATCAGTAGTTTCTTTTGGTCTTGTTTCAAGTAGTAAAATAATTAAGAGTTACTTATTTTACTTATAAATTTATTATACATTAGTGTTTGTGTCAAGTTTATTTGTTTGGAATTTCATTTTAAACTAGAATTCTAAATAGCATTTAAGTGACAGTTTACAACTGAAAAAACTTAAAAAAAAATTATTTTGCAGTTCTTTCACATCTATGAATATTGAGTTGTTTTTTTATTTTGTCTATCACAGTTTTATTCAGGCCACAATATGAGTAGTGAGATTGAGAGATGGGCTCAACATAACCTGATCAAACCATTTGTGAAAATTTAAGACAATTAGACTTCTCGAACCTCAGTCTCTCAGAGCAACAGGCAATGCATTTGGGGTCTCCACATACTGCAATAATTTGTCTCGGAGACATTCTGTTGTTTGGCAAAATTCTGTTGCAATATATGGTAGTGTGCATACTATGGCGACATATGATGGTGAAAACAAAAAGTTCTGGCAATGGTCTGGCAATGAAATATCCTCGTGCCCAGTGTATTTATATGACAGTACAAACATTGCAATTTTTTGTTGCAATGCAGCTAACGTTCAAAGTGCTAGTTGCACATGCTTTGAAAGATGCAATAAAAGATGTCACAAACAATGAAGTTTTTATCAATAATGACATTTTTGTCTTCTATAAAACATTCTACAAAACACAAAAAGTCATTTTGTTTTTTTTGTAGAAGTCCCACTAGATGTAGTAATTTGTCAAAACTATTGACATTCATTTGAAAGTAAGTAATAATTTTATAGGATATGTTTGTAGCTCTTCGTATAAAGTCCAAAATTTTCCTTTTAATGAGTGGTCTACTAATGTTGGATGTACCCAATAGGTCCTATTTTTTTTAATAGTCTTTTATGGCATATCTCTAGAGCACAGATTGCTGTTACCTCTTCAAGATCTGTCTTGGAAATGAAGGGTGACATTTTGTCTCGATATGCTCAGATTGTGGGACAAAACATTTTGTTACTTGATGTGCCTGGGTGAGCAACAAAGCATCACTGAGACAAATTGTCATGCAAAGGCAAATAGTTTATAAGTCTTACTGCTTCAGCCGTTTGGCCAAAGGTTTAAATTTCTTATAGTTTTGTTGTAAAAGTTGATCTCGACTTTCGGAACTCATAACTTAAAATTTGTTAACAGTTTTTCTGTAAAATTTAAGTTTTATTGTAGCATAAGTAGATTTAGTTTACACGTAAATTGCATATTTTGATAAAATATTATTTTTAAATTATTAACAAAGTTCCAAGGATTAATTTGTTGATTAAATCAATATTATGACCATACAAATAATTTGGGTCTATACAGAATCATCCTTTTTAATAGTCCAACTAGAGACAGATGGTAACAACTTAATTAAAAACTGACAAATGACATTAAAAAATACATACAATACAATTGACGCCGACCTCCTCTTAGAGGATCTGATGCCAAGAACACAGTATTAAGATTCTTCACAATATCACTTAGGTACAAATCAGTTGTATTTATATCCATCTGCTGACCTCTGGTGGATTTCCAGATTTCCACTATTGACAGGAGTGATGACAGATATACTATAACAAGCAAAGGAGGAATTTGAATATCAGTTGGATGTGTGTCATATGACAGAACTTGCACACACAAATTATAATGGGCAAATGTGAAATTTGCACAGTTTTCCAGTGTTTTAATGTACATTACAATGTTCTTGGATAATAATTACAATAATTTAAAATGGTAGAATTTATTTTGGAAGACTATATTTTGATGAATGTTGAATCTTTTTGTGTGTGTGTATGTATATGTGTGTGTACACAATAACTGCTGAATCTTTTATGGATGTGTGATGAGTGCAGACATGTGCACGCGCATAAAAAATAGCAATTATTCAGCAATTATTAAGAAAAATATATATAGTTAATGAATAATATAGTTAGTTATTCAATACAGTATTACCACTTGTACCTTTAAAAATGTAGTATAATTTTAATTTACCAAAGGTTTTTGGTTATCTTAAATGATCTTCCTCATAATAGAAAAACATATTACAATTTAAAAAATATGAACAAAAGGTGTCCTTTATTTTTAAATTGCTATCTGTTTTTCTATCATGAGGAAGTTTGTTTACAACAACTGAAAATGTTTGTTTTGAAAATTAAAATTATACTGCATTGTTAAAGGTATGAGCAGTAGTACTTTAGTTTATGACAAATGAATTTTTTGCTGAAAAGTGATTGTTTTCTTTATTGTTAAAATACATTTAAAAATTTTTAAATTAATAAAACTTGAGTCCTTCAATCTCAGGAAATGAAAACAAACTGAAATATTTTATATAGAATCAATGTTTGTTATTGTCATGAACTTTCAAAGTAATTTAAGTATGTTATGCACAATTTAACACAATTCATGTATATTTGTTTTAAATTTATCAAGAAAACTATTTTTACTAAAATAGTTTTGTTTTAATTTAGAATGAAATTGAAACAGAGCTTAAAAATTTATTAGCAAGTTTGCCAGACAAAGATATCAGCAAATGCATTCAATATTTCACTCAACAGGCTATCAAAATTGGTTATCAGAAAGTCGAGTCTGATAATGTAAGTTTTATAAGTTTCAAAAACTCTCTATAAATTGTTAAATTTTTAATTAATTAATTTTTTATTTAAATTGTATTTAGAAACTCGAATGGAATATCGACAACGAACTGAATGGAGTTTCTGCTCAGATGGAATTTCGTCCGCGTTCGGTTTCTCACGAAACAATCGTAAAAACGTGTCTTCGGGCACTCTTGAGTCACAGCACCATTTTATATCATCGAAAATTAATAGTCGAGAAAGGAATATTATTACTGCTGCATCGCATTAACAATCATCATAAAAATCATGAAGTAACGAGTTTAATCATTCAAATATTAGGCAATCTTGTTGAAGATAAAAGCCTTCATAAGCATTTATTTATGACTGGTAAGTCTCTTTCCAGAAATTACTTTATATTTTTCTTTAACTGAGATTATATATTAATAAATTTAGTTAGTCAAACCCCGCTTATATGAATCAAATGAGACCAGATCAGATCTGGATTAACAAAAATCCAGATAAACAGTAGTAATGGAGTGTTGAAATAAGTCTAAAATTCTGTATTGAAAATATATTAGATGCTTTATTGACTTTAAAACAATAGGAACATTAACATTACATAAATAGGAACATAAAAGTTACTCAGTATGTACTTTTATCCTTGGAAAGAAGATTGCATGTTAAAGTTGTAAATAATGTTTCAATAGATTCACAAACATCACAAAAAGTAGTAATTTTTTTAAAAAATTTGTGAAAGATTAAGAAGAAACGACTGTTCAAACCATTTGGATATTCCAGAAATCCAAATGAAAGGAATCCGGATTGATGGGTTTTATTGTAATCAAAATTTATGTAGATATATTGTTTTGTTTATATTTATCGTTAGTAAATATATTGTACTTCATTGATTTTTATAAAATATGTAACAGTTTTTCTCTTTATTATAGGTTGGATTCGAACATTGACTTCATTATCGAGATCACCACACTTGGAGCTTTCGTTGCCCGCCAGTAGAGCTTTAGTCAATTTAGATAGTGATAAATTTTCTGACGAAGTTTATGAAGATGGAATTTATCTTTTATATCCACAACTACGAGGGAGGTGTGTAATATAAAGATAGTGTTTAACATTTTTTATTGTATTTTGAAGAAAATTTTACTTGAATTCTTTCAGGTTATAAATTAAACTTATAACTTATCTCAATAACAAAAATATTGTCTGCAGTAAAGCTAAACTAGGATAATTTAAACATAAAATTTAACAATGTTTATTTTAGTAGAAATAATAATAATAAATTTATTGCTAAGCTAAGCTTTTAAAAGCTGACAGTATTATGCAGGACTTAAACTAATGAGTAACTAAGGGCCAATTTACACAAAACAGTGATGTGCTGGCACAGTGCAGTGAATTCATCCAAAGAGATAGCTATCATAGCCAACCTCAGAAAAGTCCATGACCACTCACTGACAGCATGATCACATCACTGTTGTGTGTAAATACAGTGTGTGATTGGTTAATGAACATAATCCGTTCCAAGACTTTGTTCATTATCAGAATTGTTCGTTAAACAATTATCAATTTACCATAGATTTTTGTGTGGAATTTGATTAATTTGTACCGGAGACTCCAAAAAATAAAAAATATATACTTTTTTACTACGTTTATTTATATGTAATAGTAAAAATACATGTGTATGTAGTCTTTCATTTCTATTAGTCATGTTTTTTCCATTTGTGGTGGTTAAAGAATCTATCCAATGTCGATTGCTTTTCTCTTTTCTTCAGGATTTTTCGGAAGTAATTAATAGTACTCATCACTGTGCCATGCTCGACATCGCTGTCACCAAACGGTCACTGTGCTGGCACGTCACTATTGTGTGTAAACTGACCCTAAGTCTCCCTGTTTCATCTTAAAAACTATGCACTGCAGCATTGTAACATATTTCATAACAATCTATGATTATTCAGTTGTAATTGAACAACTATAGATTTAATTTTAAAATTTACATTAGTCATTATGTATTATTGTGGACTCCAAAAAAATCCTGTGTCAAATACAATGCTTCTTTTGGATAAAATTGTTTTTCTTTATATTCACATATCTCTAATAACCTGTAGAATATCTCCTAGGTTTTTTAGTGCCTACAAATTTTGTGAAGAAAAAATAAATGAAAATCCCACATCATCAATATGTGTTTAATTTTTACAGGCTACATTTCTTTTACCATAGATATTAATATTTTTATTTTTTTCATTTTGCACAAAAAGATCGTGTTTTGGTAAAACTAAAGTTTGTTTGATTGACTGTAACTTGAAGGTTGTTCTTACTCCATCTTAATACATGATTTAGAAGTCAGTGTGTCAAATTTAAGGATGGATCTATAATACCACAAGTGTAGAGATTTTCAATTATTTTATCAAAATTAGACAGGCTCCATACTGGATAAAGAAATACTACTCCACTCAGATCTGGATAATCTAGCATACGTTTTCACAGAATTTAATTCCATTTTGCCGTAGAGAGAGAAAAATCGATGTAGCCTTTTTTTTTTTTTGCCTTTGGGATCTTTTGTTTTATATGTTCAGATTGTTAATTTGAAGTCTAATGAAAGAAAAATAATTATCTACTTTATAATGTTAGTTTTCCTCTGTAATTCAGTCTTACCGTCTGCCGGGAACAGAATGTCATTGGCATAAAGCAAGCAGTTAATTTCAATTGAAAATGATAACAAAAAGCCTCTATTTGCATTTTTTACAAAAGTTTCTGGCAAATCATTGACAACAATATTGAATACAGTAGAGCGTCATTTATCTGAATCGATTGGGGTTGTTCGGATAACCAATTATGTACGAAAAAATATGTTAACCCATCCCGTGTTTAAATTTTTCACCGTTGCGTATCGCTTTGCGTTGAATTTTTGTCGATGTTAAGCCTAACGTAAACTTTTTAAAATAATAATCGTGGCTATTGTATCATTAAAAATTATTTCTTTATTTTTTACAAACAAAATAAATATATTGAAAAATATAAAAACAAAAAATATCATACTTTAGAAGTTAATCTAGTATCAAAAACATTCGATTCAGCACTACACACAGTCCTCAGAAAAACACCACACAAAAGTGCCAGTGCTGCCAGCTAAAACACACACATCAACAAAAAAGAAATATTGGAATAACCCAAGATATAGCTAAAGATTGCAGTGCCACAGCACTAGCAAAAATTTAAATTTGCCGACTGGAATTCTTTTGGATAACTGATGTTTCGGATAACCGACTTTAGGATAAAAGATGCTCTACTGTAAATGAGAGCTGAATGACTCCCGTGTGGTTTTTTCTTGAAACTATACCATCTAATGATAAATTATTTTTCTTAATTCTATATTCTATTCCAGAAAATGGAAGGTTCAATAATCGAATGAATTAAATTTAAGTAATTTGGCCTAGAGCAGTGGTTCTCAACCTTTTTTGTTGATGTACCCCATTTGCCCATTAGTTGTTTCTCAAGTACCCCTTATATTTTTGTATGTAAATTTTTTAATTACTGCGTTAAATGTATACAGCCCTTATAACTGAGCGCCATAAAAAAACTCTAACTAACTAACTATAACTAAAAGTGAATTACAGTCGACCCCCCCCTATAACACTGTTGATTATTTCGTTTTATATGAATTCCATGTTGTACGAGTCACTTAGATTTTACAAATACTGTGTGCCGGGCTGTGAACGGCTCACAGCCCGGCACACAGTATTTGTAAAATCTAAGTGACTCGTACAACATGGAATTCATATAAAACGGAATAATCAATTATGTTATAGGGGGGTCGACTGTACTTATTTTACGTAAATAATAATAAATTTAATCAGGTACATACATTTATTTATTATTATTTGATAAGTATATTATATAAAATCATAGAAGTCATTTCAATACATGCATAAATTACATTTCCTAAAAATAAATAATTATAATTAACGATAAAGAAAATTTAAATTATTCTACAATAATTTCTAACAAAATTTAATGGGATACTTGTTGCGATAAATCTTCAGCAATTTTTTCAAAATTTGGTTCCCACATTGTTAAATAGAGATTATAATTGTGTACTGACCTCGAAAGGAATGGCTGCAAATTTATAACGTGTGGAACAATACGCGAATCTTTCAATTTTTGTAACAAGCGTAACGTCTAAATTCGGTAAATATCGAGTAATACTCGCGTGCAGTGACACGCATTGCATGGTGGGGTACAGTCCAGGCCTCATTATTTCTAATACTAGTAGTCCAGTAAAAACACGAAAAGCCCCAATGTTATCGAGCAATAATTATAGAATAGAATAATTTTTTTTTTCTATTCTAAAATTAATGCTCGGTTAAACTGTAATGTTACAAGACTACAGGTTCACTCGGCACAAATAGACAGGCAAATTGAGTGGATAAACAAGTTGTTTAGACTGTTTTAAAAGGTAAACCAGTGTTCACACTGGGATATTTTAAAGCAAGGTTTTGTCGTTTCTTGTTTCTTGTGTTAATAATTTACAGCAAATTGATTAACATACACCATTTTATAATGAAAATTAGATGTACCCCTTCGATTTACGTTCGTACCCCTAGGGGTACATGTACCCCCGGTTGAGAACCACTGGCCTAGAGGTAGGTGTTAGATCATACATCAAGTAGAAATAATTTACTAAATATACTCAATAATGAAAGCTTGTACCAAAGATAATCAATGACAAACAACTGTGTAAAAGACTGTGTAAATCCACAAAAAATGTATATNGTACCCCCGGTTGAGAACCACTGGCCTAGAGGTAGGTGTTAGATCATACATCAAGTAGAAATAATTTACTAAATATACTCAATAATGAAAGCTTGTACCAAAGATAATCAATGACAAACAACTGTGTAAAAGACTGTGTAAATCCACAAAAAATGTATATAGTTTAAAAATGTAATTTTAATAATAATGATTTTTACACAGAATCAGCTGTATTATTTCACTTAAAATAAATATATTATATTCCATTCCTCTCCCTTGATATTGTGATAAAATATTATAATTTACAATCCACTGTAAAAGCCTTTCATGATAAATGATAAGCAAAACTTTTTTAACATCTATAATATAATCGAGACGGGTTGATAATAATAATAATGATAATAATAATAAGTGCAGAGCCCAAACGGTTAGGAGTTGGAAGCTGAAATTTGGTACACAGATAGGGTACGTCACGAAAACGCACACTAAGAAGGGATTTTTCGAAATTCCTCCCGGGGGGGAGAAAGACAGGATTAAGGCTTAACACTTCCATCAACAATGGAAGTGTTAAGTAACAATGGCGGTGTTAGGTAACAATGGAAGTGCTAAGTAACAATGGAAGTGTTAAGTAACAATGGAAGTTTTAAGTAACAATAAAAGTTTTAAGTAACAATGGAAGTGTCAACAATGGAAATCTTACGTAACAATGGAATTGTTAAGAGAAAGCGACGTGCGATACGCAGATGCAGTTTTTTCGTTTTTGCGAGAAATCGAACATATTTTTAGACCCATCTAAAAATTCTCTAAGGGGACCCAATTCTTGCATTCTGTGAAAACTGGTAAGGTTGACTGTAACATAATAATCTTTATCTTAGTTATCGTTACTTTTGCCCGAGCAACGCCGGGCCCACCTGCTAGTATGTTGATATTTTTCTGTTAAATGAAAATGGTTGTATAAGTTCGTAGACAATCATCCGAGACTATTGGAATGGAGCACAAATTTACATAGAATTTTGTTTTACACAGTACCTACTGACTCATAACCCATACTTAAAATATGATAACACTGCAAATATTTTAAAAGGAAGTAATTATAATCATCAAAAAGTTTGATGTCCTTAGTGATTAATTTAACAATAATAGATAAATCAAGAAAAATTATTACTTAAGATAGTATACTTGAAGACAATAATTTAAAAACTGAGAATTGTTCAGAAAGTAATACCTGTTTGCCATAATCACAAAACAATAGAATTGTTTTGTGATTATGATTTTATTCTATTGTTTTATAATCACAAAACAATTCTATTGTTTTGTGATTATGGGCTTACTACTTATAATGTTGTGGAGTTGGTAAAATTCTTTTATCTCCAGCAACTCTAACCTCAAAGTTTACTATTGGTAAAAAGTGAGTCAGTCACATTGAGATCTAAAATCCCTGGTGAGAACAGGATTACAAATTAATTTATTTTTTAAATCTAACTCAATATATGCTAGAAAATCTGTTATTTTCAATAGGAGATATAAAATCATTTGGTAAAATTTCTATCTGTTATTGAAAATAACAGATTTTCTAGCATATATTGAGTTAGATTTAAAAAATAAATTAATTTGTAATCCTGTTCTCACCAGGGCTTTTTAGATCTTAATGTGACTAACACCCTAATTAACTCATCCATATTAAACTAATTATCCAAACATTCGTCCATCAGATAGGGAAATACAGGAAACATTGGAGTAATATATTACTAAAAATCTTTGCTAAATAATCACAAATAGAAAGTGATGAGTTTTGCATCATTCTTGCATATCTTTAGAACAATCTGATACGTTTCGGCATAGTCATAATGTAGTGAGTATAAACTGCAGCTATTGATATTCAAAAATTCACACACACTTTTGTTTGCAGCCAAAACAGTTTAATTACAAATGTTTTCAGCCTTTTCTAAAAACCAACTTCAGGTAAAACAGAGAATCAAACAAAACAAAAGAATAGAATGTAACATAAAGATTGTTCTAAAGATACGCAGAAAAGATGTGAAACTCGCCTTTCACAACAAATGCCGGACTGTAGTATAAAGTGACAATAGAGATAGAAACCCTTTTAGAAATACTGGATCGGTTGAGTCGAAAGAAAGAGTCATCAAAACCCTTAAATGAGGAAATTGAAGGTATCATTACTAGTCCAAGTGATTATGACAGTGAGATAATAGTGAAGAATACAAGTACAAGATTATATTATAAACTGTAAGTTTAAGATTCAGTTTTGTATGAAAAAATTAGATATAGATACTTCTGTGGGCATAGTTGCTCAAGGCCTTGCAACTAAATAATTTTCCTAGTGTTAAATTAACAGCAATTCTCTTGAAGATATGAAGAATGGGGTAACTTTAAAATGCAATTTAACAATATCATTTAGACAAACAACCAACTATCATCAGAACAAAAATTATATTGTCTGAAGGCTGCACTAATAGGGGAAACTAAAGACTTAGAAACATTAAATTTATTTGCGTCACTATTTCAAGCATTAGGAAAAACTGTATGAAAAAAGAAAAAATGGTTTATCATCATGATCAAGCATGTATTATACTTTACTTATGATTGTTGAGTTTCTATCTTGTGTTCGAGAGTTGGTTGGGATAATGGTTCTTCTCCGTTATAATCAACACTTAGCCTGGATTAAACATTTCACGTCACATTTTGTGTGAAGTCTTCATGATTACAGTCTGTTAAAGGTCAACAAACAACAACTGAAACTCATGTCCACCCTTCTCATCGGACTTAGCCCCATGTGATTTATTTGTTTCCACAACCGAAGAAGGCTTTCAAAGGTAAGTACTTTGCATCTGATGGGAGACATTCAAAGCCACAATGACAGCTCTTCAATATCACTCAAAAAATGGATTGTGGAAAGTATGTCATGCATAGTATGACAATGGCAGAAGCGTGTATGTGTTAAAGAAGAATATTTTAAGTACGACAAATTCTTGGACATAGATGACAATAAGGAATACTCTAATACTATTCTGCAAATTAAATGATCGGTTCTCGAAAATATAAGTTTATGTAATTACATCTGCTTTCCAAAGTGTTGTCTTCTATTAGAAATGGCATTAATGTCATTATTTCATAATTTATTTATAATGAAATATTTATCTACTTAGTGAGGATGCTGTATAATACAGTTGTATGTAAAGTCACTTTAATCCATGTCGGTTGATTTTCTCACAGCAACTCCAAGTTATTACTTAAGAGTTTATTGTAGTATATTCTTAAATAGATTATACATCATATGCATTTACTTACATGTCTTTAAGAGAGAGAAACAATTTCTAAAACTCCGGTACACACGCAATGTTCTTGTATAAATACCATTATAAAAACCTTTAAAAAATTTTTAATAAATGGGTAAAAAACTATATTATAAACTATATCACATCATCTTTAAACATAATAAACCTTACTTTATAATTATTACATCCAGTCTTAAATAATTATAAAGTAAGGTTTATTATGTTTAAAGATACAAATGATAAAAATTAATCTCATACCGTATTGTTTGGAAACATTAATGTATATTGTTAGGTACTGAGAGCATCACAAGCCTATTAAAGTGTGAGAAAATAGTTGAAAAGCTAAATAATAATATGTCAAGTATGAGTTTGAGTTATTAATTTATTTGTTAAAATATTTATAGTTCAAAAAATTAATTGTGAAAATTCTGTAAATTTATGGAAAATTTTTCATTGTCATAATAAATTTATATCTATAATAAATAAATTAGTTTCTGGCTTTATTATTTTTATCACAGAGTTTTTTATAAATGCTAATAGTTTATTGGTATTGTGTTACTAGTTTCTTTGTTTACATTTTCAGGGACAAACATCTAAATGCGGATGTCATTTTTATTCATGGTCTTCTCGGAGGAGCGTTTCGAACTTGGAGGCAGAAGGATGAAATGAAATTAGAAGTTAAAGACCAACAGATAACTCTGGAAAATGACAAAGTCTGGGTTACTCCCGACAAACAAAAAGAGCCGTCGTTTCCTCCATCTACTTTTGGTACCATACTTGAAGATTACACATTTTGTTGGCCAAAGGTTTGTCATACATTTACCTATATACACATACAGTACATCATACAAAGCCAGAATGAGACAAATCGTATTATAGGCTAATAAAATAATAAGCTGTAACAGATACTTAGTTAAGCATTAAATTAATCAGCAATTTTGTAAAGCTCAATTGGATTTTTAATGCAATTATTGCTTGTGTATAACTATATACAAATATAAATATGTTACTTAACCATTTCAAACCATAGTCAAAGAAAATGAAGCTTAATCTGACATTTTAAAAGGGAAAAGATTGTTGGAGTCACACATTTCAAATTGTCGGAGTTGGTCTTTTGTTTACCGACTCCTCCACGTTGCTTGCAACATCATGGCAGATTCATTGCCAACTGGCCCGGTGACTTTTTCTAGTTATTGCCACTAAGTATTTTCCACATAGTAAGGTATTGTAGAAAGAAAATATTTTTAAACATATTTCTACAGTAAGAAACGTGGAATAGTATAATTTTTACGAGGGCTGTTCGGAAAGTTTGTGGCCTCAAATAGAACAACAAACAAAATAATGTTAAAACTTTTTTTATTTTTCAACGTAGTCTCCTTTGTTAGCAATGCACTTATTCCAGCGATGTTCTAGCTTTTTTATGCCATTACAATAGGTCGATTTGTCAAGGTGTGCAAAATACTCATTTACTTCAGAGATGACTTTGTCATTTGAGTGGAATCTCTTTCCAACCAAGAATTATTTTAAATTTGGAAAAAGGTGGAAGTCACTGGGGGCCAAATCAGGTGAGTACAGTGAATGTGGAACTAATTGGAAGCTAAGTTCGTTTATTTTTTGTTCAGTGATTCTGGCATTATCATGGTGAAACAGAACCTTCTTCTTCAAGTGTGGCCTCTTCGATTTCTTTCTTCAGTTTTTCCAAAAGTATACAGTAATAGACAGCATTGATGGTCTTTCCTCTTTTTAGGTAGTCAATAAAGATGATTCCTTTAGCATCCCCAAAAAACTAAGGCTATCACTTTCCCCGCTGGTGGAACTGTTTTTGCCTTCTTTGGTGGTGGCGAACTGGGGTGTTTCCATTGCTTCGACTGTTCTTTTGTTTAAGGAGTGTAGTAATGGATCCACGTTTCGTCAGTAGTCGCAAACCAACGCAAGAAATCCCGTGGGTTTTTCTTGTAGAAGTCCAAACACCTCTTTGACATCAAAGTGCGAACACGTCTTTGCTCAGCGGTCAGCAGATGCAGCATCCAACTTGCTGAGACCTTCGTCATACCCACATTTTCGGTTAGATGTGGTACACTCGGTCGACAGAGATGCCTGTTGTCTCAGCTATCTCATGTGTTTTCAAACGGCGATCTGCTAACACCAAATCGTAAACTTTGTCGATATTTTTTTCAGCGACAGCAGTCGACAGCCGTCCGCTGCGAGAGTCATGTTTCACACACTCTCTGCCAGATTTAAAAAGGGCTGTCCATTTTTTCACAGTGGTTTACGAAGGAGCAGACTCTCCCAAAACTTCATCTATGTCAGCTTTGATTTGAGATGCGGTCAACCCTTTTTTCGTCAGGTATTTTATGACCGCACGAGTCTCTGTCTTCTCCATTTTTGACAAAGCATGTGCACATTGACTATCTGCTAAGCTGTCGTGGCAAAACTTTACGATAAATGAAGCGGAAATTGGTGTCGTATCTTTAGCAAGGATGTCTGAATTATTTCCGCCAAAAATTAAATTGATCGCAGCGCCGCATATAGGCAAGGCCGCAAACTTTTCGAACAGCCCTCGTATGCCTTTGTGTCCTTTATCTTAATTTAATATTTATCTTGTATACTAGTACTTTATCAATACCAGGTGAACTAAATAAAAAATATTATTTCTGATCTGTGACTAAGACTAAATTTGTGCATCCATAAATCCAGTATAATAAAGTACTAGTATACAAGATAAATATTAAAAAAAAAAGTGGAATAGTATAGTTTGACTATTCAACAAATCATGCTATTCCATACATTTTGTGTTGTGTAATTAAAATAAGAAAAAGAAGTTGCTTAAGTTAAATGAACAGATAAAGCTAAAATGTTAGATATACGAAAGAACTAAGAACTATATAGTTTACACAATGATATAAATATGGCTGTATATAAAATATGGATAATTATATTTTAACATTATTCTATATGTCTCAGTTAATATTTACTGAGTCAGAAATTAATCTCTGTTCATAAAAATTATTTTAGGCTATGCTTAACTACAGAATAAAACAAAAAGTAAGAAAAATGTTTTGTTAATATAATTTCAATGCACAGCAAGCCATTTTGTATTTAAATATGTTTGAATGTACAGTTGTTGGCTACATACAGAAATTAAATTTCTATGTATAAAGTAAATATATTTTTTTAATTTTAACCCCAGATTCAGACTTTGAACAACTTGTTCAAAGTTCAAATCTGGAGTCCGGAACGAGTTAAATCTGAAGTACGAGTTACAGCTGCATAAAAAATTTATGAAAACTGAGATGTGAGTCAGTTTGAGTTATCTCTTTTTAATAAATTCTCATAATTTAAGCATGATTTTGATAAAAATGTTTATTAATTTCTTTTATTAATTAACCAAACAATTTCATTTGTAAATTAATTAACTTATTTAAAACTTTTTGTTATTTTTAGTTCTTTTATTACTTTTTGAAGTAAATGATTATTCTGAAATGTATAAATTTCAAATAGGATTGGTTGTCTCGTGAATGTCCGCATCTTCGAATTCTGGCAGTAGATTACTACTCTCATTTTACCGTCTGGAAGGACGAGTGTCGCTTTGAAACCGAAAAGTATGTTTAAATTATTTACATTAATAATAAAATGATTATACAATTACTATTTTGTTTGAGCACTATTTTCATGATCAAACATGCTATTGTGTTTGATCAAGAAAATATGTATTAAATTTATATAAACAACAATGCTCTAACATATTAATCAAACTGTTAAAAAATAAGATTATCTTGAGTCGTTTTTTTGCCTACTAATACTTAATGACATAATATTATTTAGATTAAAAGTTGGCACTTAGACCAATGTCTCACAGTCAGTGATATTAAGCCCACAACAGTTAAGGGAGCAACCTACCACTCTGGGGAATCCTGAATTAAATTCGGGTGGGTTTGAATAACCCTGGGAATTTTTTGGGAGTGGCCTGTCCGAGCGTGTCAGGCCATGTCCCTTGTCGGCCGGCCACTCCTTTGCTGGTTTGGCTAAACCCGTAATTGGCTTGCCAAAAACGTCCTTGGGGTCTCTGGAGTGGAAAGAGTTTTAAAAAATTTTGTTGATATTTGTAATATGTTCTTGGTTTGGTTGTTTATATATTCAGTGAAGTAAAAACTAAACAAAACTTATAATTAATATGTTAGCATAACAAGTATTTACGGAAGTTTATTAAAAGGGATTAACTTTATGCAGCTACTCATTTCTGCTAGCGTTCGTATCATTTTCTTGAAACAGTACCGGAAGCCATTTTTGTAACGTCATTAAGGGTTCTAATTGCTTCCGTCAGTCATTTCTAGTCAGCAAATATCTGACTAAGGAGGACATAACAGTGTTTTTCCAGTATTATTATTTCTTGATTTTGCTTCTGTATATTACTATCTGTTCTTTAAAATGAAGAGAAATTGGAAGATAAGCTGCAGTGATGAAAACCATTAGAAAAATCACCAAAATGACTTCTGGAACTGCTTTGAAAATGAAAGAGATGCTGAAAGCAGTGTGTGGGGGTGTAGAAGAAGCTAACTTTGAAGGTGGTTGTTTGATTTAAGGATTCCTGTGTGTTGTATACTAAAATCTGTGTCAAAAGTTCAATTTGTTTTGACACTATATATGTAAGTGTGTGTGTGTGTGTATATATATACATATATACATACCATGCTTGCTAGAGTAAAAGCTTAAGTTTGACAAGAGGCATAGGGCAGAAAAAAATATAATTCAAATTTAACTTCAAAGGTTTGCAAAGTTAAATTTAAGTTATATTCTTCTGTTCCATTCCATATACTAACTGATAAAACCTTAGTAATAATGACAAAGATATTATTTATTTATAGTTTTTAAGGTTTCACTTTATTTTTTTTTATAAACAACATTATTTCACATTTTTCAAACATTAAAGAAATGAAAATTAATAACAGAAAATATTATATTATAGATGTGGTATTACAATAATTGTTATTCACTATTATTAATAAGGTTACTTAACTATCCAATGCTTGTAACCAAGTACTTTATGTGGATGATTGAGTATTGCATTTGGGCATGACACAGAAAACTGCTGGGCTTTATATATATGTAATATATATATTATATATTGAAAAAGACAATTGGAGGAAGATAAGATTTATTTTATGACTATTTTGAAAGCATTACTTATTAAATATTAAATTACATTTTTAAATATATAAAATTAATAATTTTATTATTTATTATATATATGTATATATAACAATTTAAAATTTTACAGTCGCTCTCTATTAAGTAGAAGTAATGAGATTTTGAAGAAGTTAGTAGCCGCGGGTGTCGGTAACAAACCCATAATATGGGTCACTCATTCCATGGGAGGTAAATTGCTTATTTAAAATCAATCTTATCTTACAAAAGACGATAAAATTTGAGAAAATTCAAACTTAATATTGTTTTAACAACAAATTTCAGGATTGTTAGTAAAACAAATGCTTCTCGAAGCAGCCAAAAACAGAGATCCCAGCATTAGAAACGTGTTAGAGAATTCAGTTGGCGTAGTGTTTTGTAGCGTACCTCACCGAGGAAGTTCTTTGGCCACTGTGGATTCCGGCTGGAAACTAATATTACTTCCGACTAAAGAAGTGAAAGAATTGAAAAAAGGTCTGTTTGTATTTTTATTGAAAAAGTTAAAAAATAACAATAAATCATTTATTTATTTGATTAAATTTTAATAAAAGATTTATGAGAAACATTGAAAATAACAAATAATATAAAAATGAAAACAGCACATAACATTGGTATGGTTTGCAAATAAGGCAGAAGATCGTCTTTTCGTAATAATTAATTTTACTCAACATAACAAAATAAAAAATACAGCAAATATAAAGTTTAAAAGTTTGGTGAATACATTGTAAATTTAGAGAACTAAAAAATATATATTTCAAAACCAGACTTGAACAGCCACATTTCTTCTAACTGACAAGGACTAAACAGACTAGAATATCATCCAAAATATTTTATTACCTCTCTTAATGTAAATACATTTTGGGCTTTAGCTCCTCTTTGGTACTTGCTATAATGATACAATAAACTTAGTAAACAATTACAGTATATAAATGAAAACTCTACATACCTATATATAAGATAAATAGTAAAATTTTTTATAAATAACATTTTTTGACTGATACCAAACAAATGCAAATGATAAGCACTGAACTTGTTCAAAAAACAAGTTAAAGTATGCCAATTATTAAATATAATGCTGGAGTTTCAAGGTGCACTATTTCTTTTGTTTCTTATTCTCCAGTTAGATCTTATTTATTTTTATTCATACTTCACTGTAAACTGATAACAGATGCAACTGATGTTTACAAAAACATCTCTTACTTTTTATTATTGCAATTAGCCCAATTTAAAGTACTATGTCATCCCAATTTGTATTAAATAACATACCATCTGTGCATATTATTCCTTTTTCCTTCATTACTATTACTATATATGTTGTTATTAAGGCTAGGGGCCAGAATTATGTTACTCAGTAGATTATTCTTTAAAATATCAAAAACTTTTTTAAAATATGGGAATGATGTGTAAGACCTATCCCCTTTATTATTTTTTGTTTTAAACCTGTTATTAATCCTTTTAATTTTTTTTATTCTCTGATATATTTTAATCTTAGCTATTTCTGCTAACCTAGGGCCTATTACTGTACCCATACTGTATATCTTTTTGTCTTAAAAAAAATTATTACCATTTACAAAACATAATTATTAAGGAACAAAAACTCGATTAAGTTAATAATCCAACCTTCTAAATTATTTTCTACCAAACAATTTTCAATATTGGGGTAAAGTTTGTTCATATATTTCTGATAGTTTGTATAACATAATAGCATTAATTTTATAGGTGTTTGAGACATACAATGTATACAAACCATCTACAAAAACTTTGAATGCAGACATAATACAACATTGGGCAATTAAGTTTTAGAATAGATCAATTACAACTGAGTTAAAGAATGTAGAAACAAGATTCAATGCATCTGTGGCAGCTTCTTTAGTAAATTTGTTTATCTAAGACATTTTTTTATACAAATTATTGTCATTTTATAGACATTTCCATTACTACACAAAGCAAACATTAAGTTTTGACATGGTCAGATTTCAGCTTAATTGAATTATATGTAACTATGTGGTTTAATGAGATTTGTAGGACAATTTTGCTTTTGGATGTCAAAAATCAAAATTATCATTATTATTTTTAAACAAGAGAATCATTTGCCAAAAGTGTGTTCTGCCAGGTCACTCAGTTAACTGATGTAAAAATAGTATGACCGTAGCTGTTTGTTATAACTTTGTGCATATATATTATGTTATAACTTCCACAATAAATAGTTCACAAAAACAGTGTTCTTTCTTTATGATTTTCTCCAGGATTAAATTTATAATAATTAATCGAGGTTTACATTTTATTAAGATGCTGCCATTACTTCTATAATGAGACTAGTAATGCCACAGGATACATTTTGTAGTTTTTATTCTTTGCTTTGCACACAAAGTTACAGCAAATAGGTTATAGTTTAATTAATAATATAAAAATATTTAATATATGAATTTATCATAATTATAGATTTTTATTTTGTTTTTACTAGTGCCAAAAAGTAGAAGTTTAATAATTTTTTTAATGTGTATTATTAATTCTTTGTCTTTTAAAGAAATGTAAATAAATTTATAATGGCTTAGTTAAACTATATATATTTTTTTTTCTATTCACACACACAGTCATTCTTGCCTGCATTTTTTCTGTAGCTCTATAACTAAGTACTCGCAAGGTATTTACAATCCATAATTCCTGTTTATTAATATGAATTATTGATAATATTGAAAGTACACTAGTAAAAGATATATTTAATTTTTATAGGAATATCACACAATATCAAGGCTAACCTTGAATATTATCCCATTTCTACCCAGTGAAATCTCAATACTGTATAGTGTACCCTCAATAAGAGTGCCAACCTGATAAATAAACCTGAATAGGTTTATTTATCAGGTAGGTGGACCTTCCTAATATATGTATTTCATATTTTTTTAAGATACTTGTACAGTACATATGAAATGCAGAATTTGATTTAGTGGCACTGTCAGTATGATTATGGAATTGGTGCTAAATAAAATTTTGACTGCAATTTGTTTTTATTCTTAAATCCGTTTGCTTCTCTTTTAGTTCCCGACTAATGTACTGCCTTTAAAATTTTTAATTAAGATTAAATAAAAATATAATAAACAAATTATCCAAATCTAAGGACAGTAATATAGACTTTAAATAATATTACGATGTACAATTTTCGTTTTTGTAAATATCTTTTAGTTTTCTGCTAGTAATAGCAGGTCTGGTGAGTACCACCTCTTTTTCTACACTCGTGTCTTTAGCTCTTTATAACTACCCTCTTTTAAGTCATTCATCATTTTAATTCTCCTTCTCCTTCGTTTCTTTCTGCCTACAAGCGTTCCTTCCATAATGTCATTCCGTAAGGCTTTTTGAATCGTGTCCCATCCGATTAGCTTTTTGCCTCATTATTGTCTCTAATATGCTCCTTTTTTCACCCACTCTTCTCGGGACTTCCTCATTTCTCACCTTATCTCTCCATTTGACTTTCTCTATTCTTCTCCGTGGCCGCCATTCTCCGAATGTCGTATCGTCTCGAGGTCTAAGTTTCGGCACCATAGAGGAAAACATTCCAGATGTCTCATTTGTCCAGTCTTTTTCTCAATTCTAATTTCAGAGGTCCACATAAAATTGTGTTCATTTTGCTAAATGCCACTTTTGCCATTTCAATTATCTTCTTGATTTCTTTCCCACTTCTGCACTCCGAGTCGAGCCAATGTATCATTCTTCTATGATTCTCGGCACCCCTATCACATCTCTAGTGCCTCTTCTGTTCCCGAATCCAAACTGTTCTTTTATAAATATACTTTATACGAAAATATTGAATTTTACGACAGATTCCTCGTATCTTTTGGACATGCACGAGAAGTTTAAACAGTTGGCCAAGAAGCACGACATCTCTTGTCTTAGTTTCGGAGAAACCCAAAAAACCAACCTGGGCTTGAAATTAAGCACGTTGATGGTGTCTCTGGATTCCTCAGGTATCTCGCACCTCCAAATATTAATAAATTTAATTAACTTTTTGTCGTTTCCGCCGGTTTCATTCTTTTTCTTTCCCGTAGATCCGTCGATCGGCGAATTTTACGCACTTCCGGAGAATCATCTGAACACCTGTAAGCCGGAAACGAAGTCCTCCGTCATGTATCAGCTGCTGGTGGATTTCATCCATCAGCACGTGCCGCACACTCTGATGGAAAATTTGCTTCAGGACCACAACGTCAGTGCCGAAGATTTAGAAACCACCGTGGTCATGGGATTAGTGCAATAGATTTTTGTATACAATTTAATTAAAGACAATATTTTTAAATACGTATATGTAATAATGTCTTTGGTTTATCATAATATATTCTTTATGCAGATGCCTTAGTCCATTGTAAAACGTCCATCGAATTTACGGTGGAAAGTATGTGCGGAATTGCGGATACGACCGGGCCCAATTACTTTTTCGATTCTCTCGAACGCTCAAAGTCGTAGTTTATTTTGTTTTTATAAAGAAATTTCTTCAGGTAATTATATTATATTTTCAAATTAAAGTTAAAAAAGTTATTTTGATTTTTATGGTTTTAGGCAAGTTAGAGAGAGACATTTTCTTCGGAATGTATATTTACAATTATGCATTTTTGATTACGCGATCCGAACTCCGGTTCCTCTGTATTTGGATCGTCGTCCCGCTTCATCGAAGTCCATACGTAAGCATGAATACTTAAAAACACACACAAGAACATTCCATCTTTAAGGGAAATTCTATTGTTAGAACTGGTAAATAATTTCCCATGTGGATGTTAAAATCCAAAAGTTTAGTGAAATCTGTTTTTTATACTTTTTCTTTATTATTTATATAGTGTGGACCCCAAGAAAACGGGTCTAATCTGAGATAATTTCGAGAAAAGTATTATGAAAACCAAAGATATTACCGAACGGTCGGGGTACCCAAAATTTGCGTATTAAATTTCCTATAAATCGGATGCAGGGTATGATTTTAGGATTGTTGTTGCCAACGAAAACTTTTGACTAGTAAATAAATTTTTTTCATTTATAAACTGAATTTTTATTTGTAAATGATCTCCAAAATCAACATATATAATCTAAAATAAATCATAAATCCCTGTGGGCACTAACCTTTCGTAGCCAGCCCATTAAGGGTTTGCTACGAATGGAGTGGTGAGAAATGGGTTCTGACTAGGGTTTCTCAAATGTGATCCCGGCTTCCCGGTTGTTTTTTTAACACGGAAAATCGCAAATTTCTTAAAAATTCACTTAAGGTTGAGGAAATTTTGCAAATAGAAAGTATAATTAACTCATAAACGATTATAATACATTTGTATTTATTAATTTTAAACCTATTTATTAGATTTTTAAATTTTTGCTCGTTATGGCGCGTCACAATTGGTCAATAATCAATACGTGGCTTATATGCATAGCAATGATAAATAATTAATTACAAATGGTTTACCTAAGGTGCAGAGACGTTGGGCAGAACACTGTTGAAAGTTGTTAACTATCATTGTCATGTACTAAAACCAACACATCTACATCCAATTCTCGCGAAATAACTTTTAAAATACCAATAAGATAGAGAAGAAGGTGGTATTATGGAACACTGCGGGTATTATGGGACCACCCCATTTCGAACTGATAATAAAGGCGAACTGTAGCGGAATGTGGCTGAACTGAACTAGGCAGACATCCATAGCAAGGGGAAAACCCGTTTTACTTCAGTTAAACGGTTGTCCGTATTTAATCAGCAAATTTTTTTTTTTCAAAATTCGCAAGTTTTGAATGCTAAGTGAATTTAATTATTTTTAAAATATAAATCGTGTAGTTGTAGGTTCACTGGTGCATGTATTCCGTTCCAGAGACTTAGGGGTACATATTAATCTGTGTGATTTTCACGTTTTTAAAGTTTGGTGCCGACAGGAATTAAGTTAACCCAAGATGGAGATGCGTGAAATATGGACCCCATTGGTGCTTTTAATATGGAACCCAACTCCCCTGGTGTTCAGTATTACCAACAAATTCAAACCATAAAATAATGTTTTTACGTTTTATTTTATTTATGAAAACATTTTTTTAATTTAAATACTATCTTAACAAGAAATAAAATGTAAGATAACAATCGAAATAAACATTTTTTTTTCAAAAAAAAAATATCGTCCGCTTACAAAATAGCGAAACTGAGCACGCGCGAAGTGACAGTATCGTCTGGCAAAGTAAATAGTCTACAAGTAAGTTGAAACTTTTATGTTTATTTATTTGAAAAATAAGAATAAATGTAGCAGTTGTGATAAATGGGCACACTGTTCTTGTGCCAATATTGAAGAAAGCGATAGTTTAACCATTTTAATTTGTCCTTCTTGTAGTCTATAGTCTATAAAAACAAACCTCATAGGTGGGGTAAGATGGCACATTTACATATAGACTAATTTTAAAATATTAAAACATTTTCGCGTTAAAATACATTGGAGTAAATGATTTTGTAATTATTTAACATTTTTTGTACTTTCCTATTTGTTTTTGGCTACATTAAAGCATTTTTTGAAAATATACAGTAAGGGGTGCCATATTACCACCTGGTTCTCCCTAAGCCTACTTTCTGACTTTTTGTACAGAAGCCTTCAAAAACCATACTTATAGTTACACTAACGAAAAATCCAATTAGGAACATTTAGTTTAATAGTTACAAGTACTTTTTGCACAAAAAATGTGGGTGTAGTTATGATACCTTGTTTACAATTCACTAAAATGAAAATGGGGTTCCATAATACCATCTTCTCCTCTACTACATATTTCCGTTACGATTGCAAAGAAATACCGTAATATCCCTTATCCAGTTCAAAACATAGTTATGTTTTTTGTTTCATTATTATCATTGTCACGCGCTACGACCTACATCGCTATATCCATCGAAAAGAGTCGAGCACGAACTCTGGCAATTCCTAGGTTTGCCGCTATGCTTTGCTGGCGCTCCATACGCCGACAGATACTGTAATAATATATAATAATTTATGTTGTTTAACAATAGCTAAGGGCGTCCGTAGTGGCCGTTTTTGGCATATTTTTCGGTTTTATATAGTAGATTGTAGAAAAAAGTAATTGAAAAGCATCCGCGTGGTAAGAATTTTGACACGTAAAATTGCCAACGGATTTAAATTAAATTAAGAAAATACATAAAAAATGTGAATATTTTCGATACGCATTTACGCACACGTTAGTATCGTGTAATGTGTCTTCTTTATCATAGAAATTAGGTGACGATTATTAAATAATGACTATAACCATTATCTTAATTTGCATAATAGAAACTGCATCCTAATGGTAAAGGAATGAACTCCGTGATTTAAAAACTTAAGTATCCGACTGTTTGACCGGACCCGGTCCAAAATTAGTACGTTAGCGCTTTCCATTAAGCACTAAAATACTAGTTTTTTGAACTGGGTTCGGTTGATATGTGTGTGTGTAGGAATCCATTCCTCGTCGTCCCACTACAAAACCGACCAAATGACGATAGAAAGACCTTTAATGCGCGCCAAACAGAATGAATTTTAACTGTAATAAATACAGAAGCTGGCAAATAGAAATTACGTGACCCATAAAACCCTTCTAAAACCGAAGGAATCTTAAAACTTTCGATTAGTAAATCGGTACTCGTGTTTACAATTTTCAGTTACACACCTATCGAAGGTGTGTCGGGGTCTATGTAGCCGTGTCCTACGAAGTTCTCTTCGTCGAAAGGGTGTTAAAAGATTACACCGGGAGACTGCGCGCCTAATGTTTGCACGGTCCACAAATTACGAACAAAACCCAAACGAATTGCAACTCGCTCGAAGTACTTTCGTGGGTTTCTCTTCGAAACCCGCGAACCACTCCACGGGATTTACGAATGGACCACAAACAATTCCAAGCAGAATTTGTTTGGAACGGGTTTTTAAATTCGTTGTATTGGCGATCGACGGGTCTTGTTCTAGATACACGTATTGTAATTATACACCTGCGATAGATTCGTCCAGGATATTCAAAATTATTGGTTAATTACGTTCGGATTTTTTTGTTTATATATATATAAAATATTAAATCGATAAAAAGAAACGTTTTAATTTCAAAATGGTTTTTAATCGGCAAATTTGAGAGTCGAAAAATACAATTCAGGTAATATCACCGTGACAATTTTTATGCTTTTGTTCGCCCGGACGCCATCTTTTTCAAGCAGTCGGAGACATCGGCAGCGCGAGCGATTTCGTAGAGGATGTTGGGGTTAGAGTTAATGTTATTTATAGTTTGCGGCGTAAAGCTGTCCATTATTGTCTGGACCGAAGCCATTGAACTCTTGTCGTCACAATCGATTGTATTGTCGTACTTGTTCACGCGGTTTTGCATGCAACGAATCATATCTTTCGCGAAGCAACAGGCAGTGCGAATAGGGGGAAAAGTACTCTCCACGCACACACCATATGTATCGATTAGGTTGTACACGTTTTCCAAGCTGCAGTCCAGAAGAATTGGAATTATCCTGCTATTGTCTACGTCACAGACGAAATCTGTCAGCTTATCCAGATCCAATATGCAGTTTAGTTCGGGACAAGTCATTTCCAAATCGCTCATACTCTTAGAAACGCATTGAACTATTTCGTCATTCTCCTACAAATAAATAATCGACAGTAAATTTCCAAAGTTTCGTGTCCTAATAACAAATATTACAATACGTGAGTATAAAGATTACTTTTTTGCTATGCATTGAAGTAGAGGGTTTGCCTCCTCTTGTTCGAGAATTTCGCGGCGATTCGTCGATTTCCGGTGCCGTATTTTAACAAATGTTTAGGGCGTGTGGACAGGTGTACCATACGTGCATACGCCACCTGTCCACGCACCTTTAGTAATCTGTACAGAAAAAAAATCCGGAAAACTCCACGTGGCGAGGTCGAATCCGTTGTGGGCCCGCTAAAAAGACCCTCTTAGTGACCACGGGGCGGAGAGTTAAAAATAAATAAATCGCGTCTGCGAGAAATTCGTGCCACGCCGGTCGAGAATCACCGCCTGTGACGTGTAAATTTTGAAAATACAATACACATAAGTTGCTATACCAGTGGAGAAGTAATTATCGAAATAAATACTTTCAAGTTTATAATTAAGAGCGGGATAATTTTACTTTATTCGTTTTATTGTATACTTACGCCTATTCTTTGGCCACTCGCGGAACAGACAATTCCTGTAAAAAAAGAATTTGGTTTATAGAAATGCAGTCTGAAAGTCGTCGTTTTTCGTTAAAATTTTACAAAAATATGCAATTTAAAATCTAAAACAAGTTTTACTGTTTACTACAATAATGAGACCCGGTAATCGAATCCGCGAGAGCCAACCCGGGAAGTCTTCGCGGGTTGTCTTTCCCGGATATGGCCCACGGGTAAACAGTTTTTTTTCTGTATATGGCAACGCGACTCTCGGGCTGTCTGCCGAAGGGGTGCCTCGTAGGTTTACTAACGTGTTGAAAATTCGGATAACTTCACGCGGCCAAGTGCTAACCCGCCACACCAACTATCCGTGTTCGGTGATTTTATCCATTCCGCCACCGATTAAATAAAACTACAACTCTATTAATCGGTTGCGGGTTTGCACCCGGCCGCGTGGATTTTTCCGGGTTTTCTTCAAGCACCTAAAACCTAAACGAGGACCCGTCGTCTCAGCTCGGCGGACGGCAAAGGTGCGGCGTTGCTCTATTCCGTCAGCCAAATTTCCCGAATATATCTGTCTCGGACTTGGACGAATGCCTCTGCGGGTCGATCGAATTCACCGTGGACACGAGGGAGAAAGCCCCGTTAGTGCCCACGGTTCAGAAGGTCACGGTATTCTTTTGGTGTAACTTACCGAGCACGGAGAGAACGAATAGACTTATGCTCATCTTTCCTTTACGAACGGGAGTGTTAGGATGGCAGATGTGACGAGTCGTTCGGTGTAGAAAAAGGAATTTGTGAAGTTTTGTTGTTTTTGCCGGGGTTTAAATAGGATTCCTTTACTACGCAGTAGAATTCCATCCCCGTCGTTATTGCACGAGGCACGATGCAAAATCACGACGTAATTCTTCCTACGCGCCATTTGCCCGTTCGACAGATGCGTTGGTACGCTTTTACGCCATTTGACACTACCCCCCGTGTTGCAAATGCGAACTGATTATAAAATACATTTATCTTAATTTAAAATTTTGTTTTCGTTATAAATTTTATACGGCAATTTGGAGACGGTTCTCCATCGTCGTGGCCATTTTAATATTTTCGATAATCGTTCGGGGAAGGCGAAGGACTATTCTCTTATGTCCCAGTATAAGATATAAGAATATGACTCTTATATACGTGGAATTACGGTACTTTTGTAATTATAATTTATTCTGGCCTTGAATGTTTCTTGTGGAAGAATAAGAAAACCGCAATTGGCCCGACATTTCTTCTCTATCGGAGGACGAATTTCCGAGGCTGTTGCAAAATGACCCGTTCGGTATATATTACGATAATCGTGTTAATTAAAGGAAGTAGAAGTTTCTGTAGTAATCTGTTGGACGTAAAAGAATTCGAGAATCTCCAACGCTTTAAAGGGGAATTCTTTTTTTTATTTCGAACCGCTCAAATGCGTATTTAATAAATTTGATTCCCTTTACTGGAAACTCCTGCCTAACTCCAGATGTAGCGTCAACCGCTTCCAAGCTGTTTCGCACATTTTCGTGACGTAAACGAAGCTAGGTGTTGTAAAGTACGGAAATTTTTCCATAATTTTTATAAATAATACTCTGTAGGCCTAAGAGTGATTAAAATAAGTCCGTGATCATTAAATGGCTAAGTAGGAACCTCTTAATCGCTAATTAATTGTATTTAATTAATCGTAGTCGATACTTTTAGCAATAAAAAGTAGCGTGTGTAGTGCGGGGCTGCGCGGTCGGAGTCGTTTTTATTTTCCCAATTTGTTAAGTATATAAAAAACGAAAAAGTATTTGAATGGCGTCACATTTGACCCTCCGAGTTTTTTGCAAATTTCTTTAATTTCTTTATTAAACTTTACTCATTTTCGGAACAGAATGAACAAAATTTGGCACGGTAGCGTGTATATGAAGGGCATTAATGCTATTAAGTTTTGGGGTAGAGACATAGAAGAGTTGAAAGTTGAAATTCGGTACACGGGATACGTCATAAGTATGTACACTAAGAAGGGATTTTTCGAAATTCCTCTCGCGGGGGAGGGGGGGGGTTAAATATGATTTAAGAGCTTCGGTGAATGCTGACTTAACAGAAGTGATATTTTTTTGTAAGTTAGTAATTCAGTTTATAACAGAGATGAAAAATAATAAATTAATCAACCTTTTTCTTTACCAGTGTAAATGTTACATTAAAGCTTAATAACTCCTGTGTTAAATCATCCGACTCCGATTGAAAATCGTGCCTCCCATACGGTCTAACATTCGCACGTACAGAAAAAACCTCGAATATCTCGACATTTCGAGGTGTCCCGAGTCCTAAAATGCAAAAATTTGGGGTGGGATCATTTTTTTGACCGATGGCTACACTTTTCCTCCGTTATATTTAACAGCCGGAAAATTATCGAATACGCATTTCTATGTTGACTACGTCATTACTTAGAGGAGTATTTTAGCTTTATAATAAAAAGTTTCTACGTTTTATCTTTATTAGAACTATATTTATCGAAGCTTATATATTCCGAGGTTACAATTTGTATACGATATTGGTATACGGTACTGTCGAAAGACGATGTTACGCGTAGTACGTTGGCTTTATCGGGTGATCGTCCGGGACAGAAATTTAGTCTTTACGATGTATGGAGCCTTTCTTTAGTCCGCCTGCCCTAACTAGGAAAGTTTCGGCTCCCCTCTCCTTTCGTGACATATAGCGTGGGGTGAAACGCCGCGACTTATTCTTCGACGTCCCTGCTTCTACTCGAAGTATTTCGTCTCGAATTTTATCAGAAAATATTTGCAAACTTTTAATCAGTTTTTGGATTTTGCGGGTTAGCGAACCGGTAGAGGAGGATGTAACGTAGACAATAGGGAGAAGGGGCTCAACTATATACGTAATTAATAGATAGTTTCTTATTTTAAACAATGATAAATCGTATCTCCTTCGGTAAGATTTGCCACTCGCGTTACGTAGGTTCGAATCCGGTTAAAAGATACGTATTACAGTATTTAAGAAAGACACTGTCAAATATAAAAGCTTTTATTAGTAAAACGTCTTTACTTTGTACACTTAAAATATGAAAGGCTGCAGCTTTTACAGTGAAACATTTTCATAATTTCAAATAAGAATTTCTTCTCGAAAATATCCATTAATTCAACAATATTTAAAATTAAAATGTTTTTCTTACATTTTCTTCTTTAACCATCCAATTAGCGGTTCCTTTTTTTACATCGCTGTGTACGCGTAATAATTTATTTCTCGGTAATCGAAGCGTCTTGGCTTCGAACGGAATTTAAAGGAAAGTTAAAAGCAAAATATAAAAATACTACAAAGAACTTTTTGTACAGAATTATATTAATAAAATAATGACTACGAATCGAAGCGGAGACCGTTCAAAACTACGCGACACCGTTTCACTCCGTACCTCCTGCACCACACCGCATCTTTCGCTTCCGTAAATTTCTTGTAAGACTTAATGACGACCAGGGAAGGTTTAACAATCTGTCCGTTAAACTGACAGCAATGAGTCCTTCCTAACAGAACGCAGGTGTCGTCTTCGCCGCTTTCTATCGCACTTTTCAGTTTTTCCACATCGATAAACTTCACGGCCTCTTCCAAACTAATTCCCGCCTCGTTAAACTGCTGCTTCAGATCGGCGTATTTATCCAGCGATTCCGAAGATGCGTAAATCTGCCGATGGCTTTCGTTCGCCTGGAGAGAAATATTTTCGGAGATTTTGGCGGCGTCCAGCGAGTCGGACAACTCCCATTCCGACGAGCTCACCTGACGAACGTCCAAAATAAGTGGTAATAACTCGCCGTTTTCGTTTTCTTTCGCCGCATTATTTATAATTAAATCGTCCATCCGGGTATTATGTGATGCTTCTTCCGTTTCGGTTTTCCAAATTTCTAACCGAGATACGCCGTTATCTTCTTCGATTTTAAATGGTTTTTTAACACACTTTTCCACCCGATTTTTCGCCGAATTACTATTGTTTTCTATAAAATCGCAAGATTTATCTGAATTTTCTTCCGTTTTTCTTTTGACGTTCGAAGTTTTCTGTAATTTTTCTGTCGGTTTTGCTTCCGTATCGTTTCTTTCGTCGGATTTGATTTTGCTAATATTTTTAAGTACTTTCGTGGCTATAGATTTTATTGTGTCGTCCGTAAGTGTTATACTTTTACTTACTTTATCGTCGCCCTTTTCGACGCTTTCCAATTTATCCGCCGTTTTAATTTTCTTAACGGCGACGGAATCGTTCCGGCTTTCGTTCCCTTTCGAATTTTGTAACGTGTCCGCCGATGCCTTTTCCCTCTGATCGCCACTCCTTTTTAAAGTACGAGACTCTGTATTTTTAACTACGCTGATCCGCCTGTTCGATGGATCGGAAATATTCTTCGTTATTCTTATATCATCTTTAATAGTAAATACTTCCTCCCCGTATAACTTGCGATTCTGTTCTTTCTCTTTCTTACTTACTGTATCTGATGTAGTTTCTTTGACTTCTTTTTCTATATTTTTATCTTTGGATAAGTTATCGTCATTAACACCCTTCTTAGTTTTAGCTACGTCGTCCTTTTTATCGTCATCCGGCCAGTGACTAGCCGATAACGAACCGCCTTTACCGCTATTTCCTGCCAAGGAATCGAGTGATTTTGGTACTGTTTCTGACTTTAGAATTCTCTGTCTGACGATATTATTTCTTTTTAATTTTCTAATTTGTAAGCGATGCGATTCGACGGTTACGTTTCCTCCGACGGTAGGCGTATCGTTTATTTTTGTCTCCGTCGACTGCTTCTTTGCTTCGCAAACTTTCGATCTTTGGTTACTTAATTTAGCATCGTTTAAACTTTCTACGCACTCCTTTTTGATGTTTTCGTTACTTTTTAAAGATAATTCGTCTTTTTTATGTAATTTAACAGAAATTTTAGTGTCTTTCTTTATGGTTATAGCGGAATTCGATGAATTTGTACTAGTTTTGGACGAAACTTTGCCTGGATCTATTTTATTTGCACTGGCATTTGACGAATCTTCCGTTTTACGTTTTAGATTTAAAACGTTTGTTGTTGTTTTCGTACATTTACTTTTATTAGTGCTCGAATGTTCTGTCTCGCGAGAAAAATAATCGTTACGATTTATATTTTGTATTTTTACAATATTCGGAGACTCGGGTTCTTTATTTTCGGTTGCCGAACTTTTGATTTTTAGTTTATCTTCTAATTGTTCTTGTCTGACGTTTACTTCTTTCTTCGCAGAAATTTTCTCTTTGTTATCTCGCGAACCGCTTCCTTTCTTAACGGGCGATGGAGGTTTGATTGTCGACTTAACTTTAGTTTTTTCGTTATTCTTAATTATTTGCGTGTTAATTTGTAATCTTCTTAACTTTCTCGCCTTATTTTCTGTCTGCGACAATTGTTTTTTGGCAGTTTCTTCTCGCGCCACTTCTTTAACTAAATCCTCTTTATCCACCGATTTCTTATTATTTTCGGTTCGGTCTTTTCCGCAACTGATATTTTGTGTTTGTTTTTTAAGTACTTGGTCTTTATTTATTGATTTATCCGTACTATCTACATCTTTGCGTTGATTTTTATTCGACTGTTTCTCGCTACTTTCATCCGAACTGATTTTATCGGTGCATTTATCCTTATCAGTTTGTCCTTTGTTCTGATCCTTATTATTCGAGGTTTTATTCTGATCCTTGACGTTTAGACTTCTGTTTTTATCCTTACTGCACGGACTTTTGCTTCGATCCGCGATACTTATAATATTTTCATTTTTATCTTTAATATTCTTAGCTTTGACTACTACTTTTTGTGATATGTGTTCGGTTAACTTGTCTTTATTGACAGATCTATTTTCGTTATTTACACTTTCATCCTCGTCTTCGATTAATTGCCTTTTAGGAGTTACATCTTGTCCTACCAAACTCTTTTTGCGTGTTAATTTCGTTTTGTTTGCAAGAATTTTGCTTTGAACTTCTTTTGTTTGCTTTTCGGCAAAATCTGTTTCCGATGTTTTCTCTTCGTCTTTAAAATCTACAGCTTCTAAAGAATTTTCATTATTTAATATTTTAGCATCCGTTGGAGTATTTTCTCTTTTACTGGATTTTGGCTTTTGTGATTGTTGCGCGCGTGTATTTTGTTCTTTGCTCGAACATTCCACTTTCTTCGCGTTATCATTTTTTAAAGTAAACGTTCTTTTAATTTTAATAGACTCGTTAACGTCGCGCAACTTTTCGTCTTTTCTTTGTACTTGTTTATTCTCTTTCGTCTCTCGCTTATCCCATAACTGATCTTTCTTTTCCCCTAACGAAGACGATTTAAATATTTTCTCGCTTTCATTTAATTTACTAGAAATTTTCTGATCTTTACCGTCTCTATTTAAATCGTCTTCGTTGGGCTTATCGTCTCTTTTACTGGTAACATTTTTCCCTTCCGTCATCTTTTTCTCTAAATCTTCTCTTTTCAAATTAACGTAACAAGATTTAATTAAAGAAGTAAAATCTGAAATAGAATTCTGTTTACTTTTAGTGTTTACTTCTTCCATTTCTTTGCCGTCGTATTCGCCGCTACGTGCCCGTTTGTTCCCGCGTGTTTCTTCCTTTTCTGTTTTGGACGTGGCGGAAGTCTGTCGGGCCACATTTTTAACATCGCAATCTGCCGAATCCCGTGCGGTCTGCTCTGTAATTTTGCGCTTTTCTTCCTCTTCGTTTAAATCTTTTTTAAGCGAATCTAAAACCGCTCTCTTCTTACTCGCCGGCGATTGCTTATTTTCGCTCGTTTGCACCCGAGGACTTTCGTCCCTAATCTGCCCTCCAATTTTACTTCTAACTTCATCGGATGTTTTGTCTCCCGTAGAAGTTTGTTCGGAAGACTTTGATAAATCTTTCTGAATTTGAACCGAACTTTGTTTCCTTTTTAAATTTCTTTTAGAATTCGATTGTTTATTTGGATCTGGTTTTGACTGATCTTGAAAACTTTCCTCTTTGTTTTCCACAATTTTCTGCTTTTTTGTAGTCGTTACTTCCAAATTTTTGTCATTCTTCCCCTTCGCATCTCCTAAGTCATTAGCGAAATCTTGTTGGTTAATTAATTTGTCGTCGTATTTTGAAGATTTATCAAGATTACAAACTATATTATCGAAATTTTCCTTCAGAGGAGAGTTCGACTTATCCTCCGAAGAACAACTGGACACTAAGTGAGATCTCAAAACTCTGAATTGCGACGTGAAACTGTCTCTTCTTAATTTTTTCCTAGGGTTTGATTTATTACATTCCGTATTTGGATGTTCCTCCTGTTGTTTATTTGAATCATCCACATTGCTTGTGTTTGCATCCGTTTGTATATTGCAATCTGTTCTCTGCTGAGATTTTGTATGGTTACTTTTGTCTGTTTTCTCTAAATTCTTATTTAAATCATTCCGTTGACTGTTTTGCTTAGTCGTAGAATTTACTTTTGAATCTTTACTGTTTGATTTTTCCGATTCGTTTATCCCCTCTTGAGGGGCGTTTTTCTGGCACTTTAAAGATTTTTTATCCGTGTAGAGTTTTGTTCTTTTTATCGTTTTATTATTTGTACTCGCTTTATCTGACGTACCCGAATCATTTCTCGATAGATTTACAGACTGGTCGGTGGAATCTTCTTGTATTTTTGAATCGCTCTCACACGTATTGGACGATGATGCATTCTCTGAGCTGCAAGAATTATCTAATTCGGAAATGGATTTTCGTGAGCAAACCTTATTTTGTATCTTATCCGAAGATATTTTTTTTCTTTTGACGCTAGATTCTTCCGACGACAATTTCTGTTTTTTACTGCTAACAGTTTTATCACTTCTAGATTTAGAATTCTTCTGACAATGAGATTTGCTGCAACTTCTATTTTTGTCTTCGAATTCTTTTTGTGTATCAGAATCATAATCGCTCTCCGTGTTTGAACCTTTTTTACCTTTAGATTTACTTTTTGCGTTATTTACGTATAAAATCTCGTTATCTGAAATTTCTGAAATTGCTTTGGCTTGTGAAATGATAAGTCCCCCGTCTTCTAAGCAATTAGAAGCGACGTTTAATAGTTTTGCTACCTCTTCTTCACCTATTTTTCCAACTAACTGACTTATCAGATGATTCAATCCATTCGAATCAGAATTAACCGACATTTTTTCTGCTAAAAAAAAATTATAATATAAATTAACAATTCTCGAGAACAGAAACATAAGATAAGAATGATAAATCTAATAAATATTTCTTTTATTATTAGGTGTAATGGACAGTCTGCTACTTGTAAAGCATTTGTTTCATCCGTTTTTAGTATAAGTCCAGTTTTTCCCCCCCAAATTTCCTCAATTTTAAATTATATTTCGGTAGTAACTTATAATAAGGAAGATGTTAGCTTTGTGTCATAATAAATAAATAAAAAAACAAACAGACTAGCGTGTGCGAAAGAGTAGAAAATTTCTTAACTTTATTCATTTATATAATATTAGTTTTTTTAAATAGTAAGGTTTTAACAGAATTGTTGTGTTATAACATTTGTCGGTTTCCTTAAATAACTATTTTCTACTTATATCCTAGTTATAGACTATGACTTGTAGAAAATAGAGAAAAGAAAGTGTAAATTTTCCAACAAACTGAAAAAACAATTCTCGCTTGTAAAAAAGAGGACAATGTAATGATACTGTCATACAGAATTTTCTATCAGGTAAGGAGATCTTTCTGATGTAGTACAACACACAAATACTAATCTAATATTGAATAGACCTACGTAAGGAGTTTTTTTATCTTCCACCCGAATGCTCTACGTTTGATGGGTACATTGATTCTATGAATTGATATCAGAAATTTAATATACCAAGAATATTAAGCATAAAGTATTAAATGAGCTCATAAAGCTAGAAAATGAAATGTATTTTGAGTATCTGAACAACCCGGTAAGGATTAACGGATCGAGTGCAAACTAATTTGAAGACAAAGTACAAAAAGTTGGACTGGATTTGTACTAAGCAAGCAAGAAAAAGGATAATGCAATCTACACCATTTATATTGTGGGACTGCATCAATATACCAGAGGCATTAGGAAGTTCCTTGAAAAAAACCCAAATTTTGCACTGGTTAACATGTATTGGAAAGACAAGATATCTGAAATAGAAAGAGGAGTCACAGGACTATTGAGGTAAAATAGGACTATTTTAGATGGAAGGCAGTCCTTAGAGAACAGATGTGCAAACAAGAAGGAATTTAAATGCACGTAACAATGGTTAACAATGAATAATTTAGTCTTAACAAGAGCAGACAAGAGTAAACATTTAGTCGTAATGAAAAGACAATTTTATAGTAAAGCACTAGAGGAATAAATTGAGAAAACAGAATGCGAAAAGATAGAAGAAAATATAATAGAAAAATTAGACACAAAGGTCAAAAGACTAGAAAAACACCCTTTGCTTCTATCTCAACATTTTTTAAGGTCTTCTTCATGGGTATCTAAATTATTTGGTTTTGCAAAAACTCATAAGAACACAAGAGATCTGACTGGTGGTTGAGAAATGCAAAGGATCAATATACATTGTTGAAAAACACCTGCACTGGTTCTTAGCAAGACAACTGGAGAGCAATATCTTTGTAACAAAAAATCCACAAAGCCTGGTAATTGAACTGCAAACTCTATCATTAATGTATGAAGAAATCGGAATATTATGGATTTTGATAACCTATACCCTTCAATTAAGATAAAGTCATGCTACGAGACACTAATGGACATCTCTTAAAACCGGAAGTAACTGCTTTCCCTAAGGAGATGAAAAAACTAGCTGATCTTATATGTTACCAATTGTTCTTCAGCTTTGAAGGCCAGATATATAGGCAAAGAAAAGGAGAAAAAGTGTGGCTACGGGGAGCCCAATTTTGGGTTTACTATGTGAATTGGTTCTGCATAAGTTGGAGAAAAATACCGTTACACATTTTATGGCTGACATATTACTATACAAGAGGTATGTAGATGATGTTATGATATTATGGAGAAACAAAAATAGAATTCAACAATTTTTGTATGAGGTCAACTCAAATAATGAGGGATTGAATCATACAATGGAGCAAATGAGTCCAACACAAATAAATTTCTTGGACATTGACATCATATTTGGTGAAGAATCTTTGAAGACAAAGGTATACATTAAACCCATGCATGACCCTCCGTAAATTCCTTCTTGGTCAAATGACACCTACATTTATAAACTCTCAGCATTTAAACATTGATAAGAAAAGCCTTCATATATTGCTCGTGACATTTATGACAGGATAAAAGAGCTGGATAGAATTTAAAAAGTAGCAGTATCCTTAGGATATAAAACTACTGTAATTGAAAAATTGATAAACAGCTATACAGAGAATAGAAAGAGAATGATAACGTGAAAGAGCAAAATAACCAAGTTTATGTATAACAAGAACACGACCAGTGTTACGAATGAAATTGTGGACTACAAAGATTCTCATTTGGTTTTCAAGAAGGCATCCACCATTTGTAGCCTTTTAAGAAACTTAAAAAAGGAGAGCAGACTGGAGTATATAACATCTCGTAAAAAAATGAACAATTGGGTTAAGAGAAAGAATACATAAGAGTCACAAACAGAAACCTTAGTAAACGTCTGAAAGAATGCAAATATAACATTGAGAAAGTGCAGTATTGTATGGCTTTGTCTAGAATGGCACAAAGCGAAGGATTGGTGGTAAAATGGGAGAAAGCTAACATTAAAAAAATTGGGTCCCTTGCCAAAATTAGCGATGAATTTGGAAAAAGTTGAAATTTATAGAAGTAACCTTCTGGGCAGACGTATGAACTATAAGGATGCCACAGAGTGAAAATATATACCATATATATTTGTGCAGATAAAATGAGGTATAAATTTTCATCAAAGATTTATTGTTTTAGCATATTCTGTCCTATAAGATGACCCCCAAACTATCAAAGGCCTATGAAATTAGTTTAGATCAGCAATCATCATCTGAATAATAATACTGTATAGTGTATACAGAATTATGTCCTATTTGTAATTTTTCAAACAAACAAATTTTATTTTCTTGAATCCATCAGCACTGCCTTGCGATTTTACAAACATTTGCACTGATTCAGGCATTTGAGTAATGACCTTGACTATTCACAAAAACGTCGTATGGACTATTCTATTTTGTGGACATACCCTACTCTCTACTAGTAAATAATTACGGTTTGTCCATTTTTTTATAATGGTTTTAATTTTTGTAAATTTCAATCTAACTTTTTTTGTATCTGTCCTATAAGACGACTCCAAATTCCCAATCATAAGTAACAAAGGATAATCTCAGATCAACCTAATCAAACTATTTTACACCCATTGGCTAAAGAGATATTGTCAGCAGGTTTTAATAACAGATTTGTAATGCTCCTGCATTCTTTTGCCAAGGTTTACTGTGGTTGAAGGTTGAGCCTCTACAGTAGTGGTCTTGGGCCTCACTAAATAATCTTATGATGTAGGCCCAAGTCAGGTTTGTGGATCTTGATGAATGTGATTAGGTGGAGTGTGGACATAAGAAACTACAACTTCCAGTGACCCAACTCTTTGATTTGGATGTCTATAAAGGCCTTTGCACGATGAATGACAACAAATAACATCAATGCTCTGGCATTTGATTTGTCTGTCCCGTGTCCTTATGAACAAATCCACATACAAGGATGGTATCATCAACTATATTAAGAATACACAATGCTCAGTGGCTCCTACCAGTCATAGATAAAAAACACACCTTTAAAAATCTCCAAAGAAAATTTACTAAATAAAAACGTTTTCAATCAGTTACTTAGTAAATTATCTTTGCTGGATTTTTAAACATGTGTCTTCTATTGTATACTATTTATCCAGTAGATACAGAATATATGAATAATCTTACCAGTCATATTGAAAAACTCCAATCCAGAGTAGTTTGTCTATCTGTCACACCTCTAGCTGACCTACTACACCTGCAAAAAGTCACAGTAGACTCCAGCTTTGTTTTTGGCCTTGTGTGTCTCTTTATCCTTTCTGTACACTAATCTGTAAAGAATAACTTTCATATAGTAAAAATCCACGAAAAACCTTGTTTTTACGAGTGTTATGTCACTATTGAATTCCACAAGTACTTTCGACCTCCACCGAGGTCTGCTTCAGGCCGTGTTTCATATAGTGTTTCAACTGGTTATATAATAGACACCCAGTGACTGATATCTAAGAAGTATCCTTCCTGTTTTTGGAATTTAGTTGGGTTTGAATAGAGTAGATATAAGATGGATTGTTTACTCAGAAACCTATTATAATCTACAATGCTTATATCTTCTGCAGCTCCTGATCTCTTCCTTTATTGGTGTAGAATGTGAGGCAGTTATTCCTAAGAGTGAACAGAGGACTGTAAGCTTGTGCAGCATTCTGTTGTGTGACGGCCATTGTATATAATTATGAACAGTGTTTTTGGAAGACGTAATGATGTATCTGTCTTAGAAATAGTGATATCCAAATGGTTCACCAATGTTCTGGAAAGAACTGTTGAAGTTTTAACTTCTTCATCCCCACATTACTGCTGTTGAAGTCTATTCAAAATCCTCAAGTATACTTCAGAATGCCAAATAATGAGATCATCCATGTAGCAGCAAAAAATTTTTATATGATATCTGTATTAGTCTATAATAGATTCTTCTATCCAAGCAACAACTACTTCAGCTAAACCCTCTGAAATAGGAGAGTATTCTACATGGGATACCTAATAAATGCAGATAGTGTATGTTGTTCCAGTGAAATAGATTTTGGAACAATTACAATAGTGTGAACACAGGGAGAAAAAGGCACATGACCCGATTCTACATTGTGACTTACCTAACACGAAGTATGTAAATATCTAGTAGGATCCAAAAGTTCAAGAACTTGGTATACGATTCCTTGCCTTGAATAGTTTAAAACATCAATGCTCAACCACCTTTAAATAATCTCCTGGGGTGACAACACACTTTTACCAGAGCTCATACAGCTTCCAGAAGCATTGTCGTAAGCCATCTTTTGCAACCACCCACAATGCAACTTTTACCTCATTCGACAACTCAAAACAATCTCGGGCCTAGAATACCTGAGGAAGAATACGGAAGGTGTTCAGAAAACGTTGGTGCCTTAGAGTTTTACCATTTCACATCAGTTACAGGCTTAAATAAGTGGAATTTTATTGATCTCGGGCCATTTATGACGGATGGGTCCGTCCATCACAAATGGTCAAATCCAGTCCGGAAGCCACATTCATCACAAAATTTTTTTAAATTTGAAAATTCACAAAAATTTCAAATTAAAAAAAAAATGATTTAAATTTTACTTTCACATTCCAATCCAATAATAGCTTGATCCTAAAGTGAACTTCTTAGCTAAAAACATTTGATTAATAAAATATTGATGCCAGTAAAGGCTAAATCTGTTATGCGTATATTTTTCATGCATACAGATGCTTGTGAGGGCAAAATTGCAAATCCAAAAGCGGGGTTTCATTCCCCCAAAATAAATTTTCAATCTCCCAGACAAAAAAAAAGAGAAAGGAAACCCACTTCAATCCCATGCAAGACATCCGCCTCCAAAGTTTTGGTGGCAAGATACCGAACGGAGCAGACGGCACGAACCCGACTGCACCCAGTAGTAGTTGGCGGAATAGCGTCTTTTGTGTCTCACAAGCATTTTGCCACCTCCAGTTCATTTTCGGCATCATTTTGAGAAATACTTTGAGATTTTTTCACTCTTAAACTTTACCTCATTTTCGAAGGCCTTCAAAACTTCAAGCCTTTTTTCTGGAGGACACAATATCTCACGAGGAATCACACAAGCACCTTCCACTCTTTCGACTTTATTTTACTTCCATGGGCACGGTCTGCCCATAGGAAGTCCCAACCATCCACACAGAGTTGTAATTTTGCCATCAAGAGTATCGACAATCACTATAGTCACTGGCAGACATCCGCATTCTCATCAGATGCTTCTTAAGATAAATTGTAATACTGTTTTACAGATTCAGGTACATATTGTAACAAGTATTTGATATCCTTGTTATATACAGTATATAATATATATATATATATAACAAGGATATCAGATACTGTTATATATATATTGTCAGGGTAATAAATTTGATTCTTTTTCTTCTCAATAGATGGCTCGATCGAAAGATTTGGCTTCCTTTAACTAGTTGATATATCCCCTTATAAGTTAATGGAAGTTAAGCACGACATGACTTAAAAAGCGTGTAACTTAACTTTGTGTTTAGTGGTAAGCGTGGCATTATCGTTATTTATGCACGTTATTATTCATATAATAAAAGATACCTTTCCATTGTGTTTTAGATCGTTATAATTGAATTAATTGAAATGTAAATAAACTTACTTGATCAATTCCATTCAGGTGGCCATGTTCTTGTCGACAGCGCCCTCTCACATCGAGAGTTTCATTTGAAAAAAATATTTTAATTTTTTTATGTTTAAACGTTTTATAAATTTATGAATAGTTTAGAATTGTTTTTAAAATAAAATTAAATATTTATTTACATTATCTATTAATTTTCATATTAAAAAATTATTATTGATTTTACAACGGCGATTTGATGTGGCTATAGTCCGCGCAGCGAAAGAATAGACTCGTGGATCGCAGTAATAAAACTTTGAAAATAATAAGATTATTCGTGTTAAATATATTATAAAAACGTTTTAAAAATATAGAAAATTTAAACAGCCGAAAAAGATCGAATCCATGTGGCATTGTGGCCTATCGGTAAAAACATTAACTTGCCGATCTAGAGAACTGGGTTCCAATAGGAGTCGGGAACGACAAGAATTTTCCATTGGCTATCTGCTGCGGACGTGTCGGGTCCCGTCCCTCGCCTCGTGGCCGGATTTATTGTGCGCCCTGCCGAACTGGTGATAGGTATGGAAAAAGTCCCTCTTGGTACCCACGGCCGGAAAGAGACAAAAGAAAAGTCCCTTTTGGAAGATCGTATTGAATTGCTAAGCTCTGTCAGCTACGTATAGCATACGGATACTAGCAAATCTGTATTGTGAATCTCGGCATGGTGGTTTACTAAGATTTAGCAAATTACTCTAAATATTGTATACAAATATCTAAATATTGAATGCTTACGTTATTCTGTTTATACGTCTAGGTTGTCGTCAAGTCTCTTTGCAGCCGTGCCATTTGTTGCATTACTGTAATTACGTCACCGCCGTCTAGATATTCTACGTGCATCTTATATTATGGAAGCGCTCGAGAGTGGTCCACGCGTTTATTCGTACCGTGTCGTATTGCGACGAACATATTTGAGTTTTGTGTATAAAGTAGTATGAAATTAGCCCTGCGATAGTGTAGTGGGGATTTTCGACATCCCCCAGTGTTTTAAAAGTTGCACTATTCATAGATTTCGCAACTAATATGCTTATAAGTTTATTTTAATTAGTTTTATTCCATTACAAATTCAAGATGGCAATAGAATGAACCTTGATGATTTGTGGAATGCCGATGGCACAATTTAGAGGTATTCGGGTTGACAATGTCATTACAACGCTTTCGTTTCCTCTTACGCTGCCTAAGATTTCGATAGGAAAGTAACACGCCCTGCAAAAAGAAAAGTGGATAAGCTTGCTCTAATTAGAGACTTGTTTGAAACGTTTGTTGACAATTATGTGAAAAATTATTCCCCGTCAGAGTTTGTTACAATTGATGAGATGCTTGCAGCTTTTAGGGGTAAATGTCCCTTCGGGCAATATATACCAAGCAAACCATCCAAGTACGGAATAAAGGTACAGGCCGATGCAAAAACTTTTATGTTTATAAAATAGAAATATATGTCGGAAAACAGCCTGATGGCCCATTCAAGGTAGATAATTCGGCCATTGGTGTGGTCTCGAGGCTTATCTCAGAGATCTCGGGATCAGGTAGAAACGTCACGTTTGGCAACTGGTACACTTCTTTCCCGCTAGTCAAAATGCTACTCGATGTTCACAATTTGAGTTCGGTAGGCACACTTCGAAAAAACAAGTGTGAAATTCCTAAGGAATTCTTAGATACAAAGGACAGATGTAATTATGACAGTATGTTTGGTTTCACAAACAAAATTACACTGGTTTCGTACATCCCGCAGACTAAAAACAAAAAGAAAAATGTTCTTCTCAGCAACATGCGCTATGACAACAAAATTGACACAAGTTCTGGTGATAAAAAGAGACCTGAAATTATTACCTTCTACAATGCAATTAAAGGAGCATGGAAATAAAAAACAAAGAGAAAATCATGAATAACAACTTTGGTCAAAAATTACACGAGTCGTGGTACGCATATTTGACCAGAGAGGCGTGTGGGGAGGTGTGAAAACGGATAGGGGTGAGGGTGACGGTTACCCTGGAATGTCCTTCGAATCGTCTTGTTACTCTGTTCGTGTTACTGTGAATCTACTCATCATTTTGTTTTAACAGTATATATTTTTATGACTTTACTGTTTTAACCAGAACCTCAGTTTGCTATTATGTTATTGTATCAACATTACCGTTTTTAATGAAAAATTTTGTTTTATCGCGTGCTTAGTCTTTTAATTAATGTTCAACGCATCGAATCCACATGTCAAATGTAAGCCCACATTCTTTGTTCATTTCTGTCAATTACGGTCTTTTTATAAAAATCGTTAACTTCCTAATTTTTTGTAGAAAAAAGCTGATGAGGGACTCCGTGTCCGAAATGCATCCTAAAAATAAAACAATGTTTTTCTAAGTCTAATTTGATGTCCTGTGGCGGTGTAATAAGTCTAGCGGTAAAGAAAAGCCAAAAAGGATATTGTCAGTATGCCCAATGCCCCGCCAGCCTCTCACACCACACGGGCGCAAGAAATGTGTATTCTGGCGATTGTAAGGTAAAAACAGTGTGTAGCGAGTGTGATAAACATGCGTGTAAAGAACATCGCGAGTTGCTTATCAGTTGCTTGTGCAATATCAGCTGATGATTCAGAGTGACAAGGATGCTTGAAAAAAGCAATTTAGATTTCTATTATTGGTTTTATAAAAAGATCTAATGTAATGAGTTTTGATAAATGTTATTTTTTATTGTCTTAATGTATTTATGNAGAAATATATGTCGGCAAACAGCCTGATGGCCCATTCAAGGTAGATAATTCGGCCATTGGTGTGGTCTCGAGGCTTATCTCAGAGATCTCGGGATCAGGTAGAAACGTCACGTTTGACAACTGGTACACTTCTTTCCCGCTAGTCAAAATGCTACTCGATGTCCACAATTTGAGTTCGGTGGGCACACTTCGAAAAAACAAGTGTGAAATTTCTAAGGAATTCTTAGAAACAAAGAACAGATGTAATTATGACAGTATGTTTGGTTTCACAAACAAAATTACACTGGTTTCATACATCCCGCAGACTAAAAACAAAAAAAAAAAAAAATGTTGTTCTTCTCAGCAACATGCACTATGACAGCAAAATTGAACCAAATTCTGGTGATAAAAAGAGACCTGAAATTATTACCTTCTACAATGCAACTAAAGGAGCGTTGATATGATCGACCAGATGGCAGCCACGTTCACTTCAAGAAATAGCCGTCGTTGGCCCATGACTGTTTTCTATATTCTTCTGAACATCTCAAACATAAATTCCTGCATCACACTACCAAACAACTCAGAAAAAACTAAACCGCCGCAGCTTCATCAAAAAGGTGGCTATGCAACTTATAGATGATAATCTGAAGAGAAGAATGCAAAACGTACGTGTGAATAGAAATCTCAGGGAAGGAATAAAAAGGATATTGTCAGCATGCCCAATGTCCTGCCAGCCTCTCACACCACACGGGCGCAAGAGATGTGTATTCTGGCGATTATGAGATAAAAACAGTGTGTAGCGAGTGTGATAAACATGCGTGTAAAGAACATTGCAACTTCGTTATCAGTTGCCAATGTGCAATATCAGCTGATGATTCAGAGTGACAAGGATGCTTGAAAAAAGCAATTTAGATTTCTATTATTGGTTTTATAAAAAGATCTAATGTAATGAGTTTTGATAAATGTTATTTTTTATTGTCTTAATGTATTTATGTACTAATGAAATATGTAATCATACTTAAATGTAATCATACATACAATGATACACGCCTTTACCAAATAAAAGAGTGAAACTTCTTGCATTTTTTACTTACATGCTTCATTTGACAAAAAAAATTTGGGGTTTTCAAACTCCCCAGTGCACTAACGCAGGGACTAGTGACGAGTTATTTAAGTAACAATGGAAGTGTTAAGGATGGAAGTGTCAACAATGGAAATGTTACGTAACAATAGAATTGCTAAGAGAAAGCGACGTGCAAGATGCAGATGCGGGAAATCGAACATAATTTTAGACCCATCTAAAAATTCTGTAATTAGTCTAGAAACAGGGGGAAACGATGCATTTTGTGAAAACGGATAAGGTTGACTATAACGTAATAATCTTAATCCGTTACTTTTGCCCGAGCAACGCCGGGCCTACCTGCCAGTTTCTTAATACTTGGTGAGTGGAAGAGAATGAAGTATCAATTTTGATAATACATTTCCTAAGAAAGAAATGTAATACGAAAAAAATGGCCGCTTTTTACAGGTGATCGTGATCGGAGGTTCGATTGTATTTTTTATTCGTAAAACTTGTTCTCTTGCATAAATTTTGGAAGATCTCTCGGCGATTTATTCTATATTTTCCAAGTATGATAAATGAGGGTGTTAGACCCTATCGAATAGAGTCATTTTTCAGGCACGTGCTTCGCTCTGTATACTTTATTATTTATTTTAGTGTTTACTTCGGCCATCGGAGATAAAGATGATGAATAATAGCAATAACGATTGAACAAACGAGCTGTTTAATTATAAAAGTACAGTGTACGCCATATAACGATATAGGGAACAATCCTTGCTATTCTTTAGTAAATCCCTGATATAATGAATGATTTCCACTGTATCGAGTCCGCTGTGTATCAAATTTTAATTTAAATCGATATTTGTGTAGTTTTAAAGAAAGCTATTGCGGGAGCAACAACTGTTAAGGGATGGAGTAAGCCATCTGTATATTGTTAATCTGCCATCTGAGCCTTCCGTTGGCTTCAATACGGTTCTAATTATTTGGCACGGCGAACTTAATTCGCTGGGTACGTTTTAAATGTTATTATAAGCGATAACAGCAGCGTTTTCATTAAAAAAAACTTGTCACAGTAGACACTTAACGAGAAAGGACTAAGAGAAAACAAGCAGACGGGTCAAAGATATCATTGAATTATGGCCATTGCAATTAAAAACCGTGAATAAATTTACCGATCCAAACTGTCAACGATATTAATAGACTCTTCAGAAGGGGGGAGAGAAAAGAAAAAAATGAGCCAAGTGATTTAAAATAAAAGAAACGAATGCATCCTTAAAGGCCGAACACTGATTAACCAGA